TAGAGGTAGTTTAGATGTGACACTTCTTGTGATGAATGATCATCTTCCACAAAAATTGCTTGAAATTTATCAGGAAATTTTGAATTTCCAACCCCTTCAAATTTCAGTTTGTTCTCTCAGGAACTCTTAGATTAACAAGTACCTGGACATTTACTTGTCTTTCAGAGTTCAATGAATTCAGCAAACAACCTTGCAGGAGGTGACAAAATAGAAGAGGATCAAACTTTGTCAGCTGCATGTCTACTTGTGTGTGAGTGGGCAAACAAACTTCTTGGTCGAGTGTTCAGCACTCTCATTGAATTGGCCAAGTTTCTTGTTAGTGGCAGTTATGTCTCCAGTAAATCCATGGCGGCATATGTTGTACTGTCTGATCTTAATACTCCTCAAATGGGCCACTCATCAGTGTCATTGATTGCACCTTTAAAGCAAGTGGAGGAGCAACTGGTGCTGACACATAAACGGCGACAATCACAACAGTTACCTAAAAAAATACCTCAACGACAACAACAAAAGCAGATTCAACAAATTCCTGTAAACCCTATGTTATCACAAGGACAAGCTTTGTGTAGTGCTCCACAACTGCCTCTTAATTTTAAGACACTGGTAAGTCCTTTTTCATTGTTGATGTACATTACAGTTAAGTATATTTAGTGTAGATCACTGATAAACTGCGGATAAGCAAGAAAAAAGGGGTATCCTGATCAAAAAGTTTCTTCTCCTGTTCTCCATAACAATTCACGTTATCGCCTGGTTACATATATTAGTTGGATATTTTTGTATAAATAATAGGAGATTGAGTGCATTATACTCAAGGAAAAGGAAAGTATCAATCATAAAAACACAATCTATTTTTTCACACCTGTCATCTATTCCACAGCCCTGTTTAGTTGTTGAGGAGAAACTGAGAAATTGCAAGATCTAGGTGATACTTAGAATGTTGATAGGAATGTACATGAAAAAATTACTTGCATCTGATTGGCTGAATGCTTGTGCATTCTCATATAACACAAATGCAAAGTTGTAACACAAGTGCAGATTACAAATAGCTTGCACATTTTCAAAATTTTGTCTATCTTGACCCTTAGTGATAATTTTTCCTGCAATTTGGTGTAGTAAGGACATGTAAATTTTTCAAAGGTTACATAATTGCACAAGCCCATCAAATTGCACTTGAAATCATGTTATTACCTATACTAATAATCCTAAACCAGTAAACTACCACTTGAAGCTTCTGAAACACTTTTGTGTCATTTTTTAGGTCAGTATATCAAGTCAGCAGAAGCCAGTACACATTCAGCCCAAACCGATACAGCCATCACTTCAAAGCCCCCCTGCTCAAATGGGACAGTTTTATCAGCAACAGCAACCTGGTGGCAACCCAACCACCCCTCCCAGTGGCTATCCAACCAAGATTAGACCTATTACTCCATCCATGATATCCCCCACCACACCCATTCAACCTGCTGGGCCCCAGATAACATCACCTTTTCAGTCATCTCCAAAGTTCAACACCCCAGGCACACCTCAAAATCGTCCAGTTACTCCCAGCTCTGCGAGCGCAACTGCAAGGCACACTCCAAACTCAGCTGAGCCAACTCGCTTTCTTTTCACACCTATTCCGAATAGTTCCCAAGAGCAGAGAGTCACCAGGGGAGAAACAAGTCCTCCTACATTGCGGCCAACTGCCACCCATCCCAGCCAGTTGTTGAATGGAGACTGGTCCCAGTCACAGATGGGAGTAAATGATGTGCCAATGTCACCAAGTAAACAACCACGTCTAATAAATCAGAATGCACCCTCCACTCCAACATCCAATCGCAGACCTGGTTCATTTGCTTACCCCTTACTATCACCAAGGACACCGCAGCGCATTGCACCACAGCAGTTTGTTACTTCCCCAACAATGGCCTCTCCAGGGTGTGGTCGGCAGCTGAACCCCATCTCTCCCAATGTCACACAGCGGGGACAAGAATTTATGCTTCCTCTAGGGATCAACAATGCAGAGAATGTGGCTCAAACAGGCTTCACACAGAGTGTGAACATGACAAGTCCTCCATCATCTGATGGAGATGGGCATATGTCTCAGCAACAGTCAAAGCAGGGGTAGGTAGTGCAATGACTGCTGTTCATTTGTATCTGAATAAATTTAGCCCATGAGACACATTGGAGATGACGCAGTTGCATTTCAACTTGCTTAACCTTTAAACCTCAAGAGTGACTAGCATCTAATTCCTCCTTACAATATCACCCCTAAGTCAAACACGAAGGTCATGAGAATAAATGAAACAATCACCAACTTAAGAAGCTCTTGATTGTTAAACAAATTCTCCTCATCAGCACTTCACAAAATGAAAAGAGAATAGTATGGAGAATATGCATATTGATCTTGGGCTATTAAGGATGAATAACAACTGGTGTGAAGAAAAATTCACCATGAAAGTTAACTTTCAGTCATCACACTTAAGTTGGAAACCCAACATAGTGGTAATAGGCTGCTAACAAAATACAGTCTCTTTACAGGATAACCACTTTGTCAGTAAAAATGCCAATGTGTACCGTTTTTTTCACTCTGAATTTTTTTGTTTTTCTTGGACATTTTGTAGAAGTTCAGGGATTATTGCAAAGTCATGCAGATACAGTAGTGCAGCAGATAATGGACACATTTCACAGGCTCCTATCATGCAGACACTGGATTATTCACCAGAACTGGAGTCAATCTGTAACCAAGCCACAAGCTCTTCAGGGCAGATGCCCCCACCTTCATATCAACGAAGCCAGTCAGTTCCCCCTTTAACACAGCATGCACTGGCAGATCAAAGATTTCATCCCTTAACTCCACAGAATAACCCACGCCCACGTCACCTGACTCCGTCACCCATGGAGACACAGTCAAATCAACATCTGAATGGGTTAAAGGAACTTCGCAACAGAGTTCTCCATGGTGATGTCAATAACAATGGGTCTCGGCCATCACAGGAAAGTGCTTTTTCTGCACGAAGAAACCTCACACCTATGCTCAATGCTGAACAATCAAATGTAACTGCTTCAAACTGGGGCGTGTCCCAAGTGAGGACAAACAACAACCCCAGGGGTGCAGAGGACCATGAAATGACAATACTCGATGCAGGCTTGACATTTGCAGATCTCAATCATGAAAATGATGAGACCTTGTCTGATCTGAATACACTGGATGATGCTACAACAGAAGCAGTATTAAGGAACATTTGTAATAATACATCAGGGGTGTGGCCAACTAGTGATGTCCATGCATGGGGAGGGTCACAGGCACTGGAGATTATGGATTAAGAAAAAATGCATCGTTTTTTCTTGGTAAAAACCTGGATACAAGCTTATTTATATATATATATATATATATATATAAATAGGTATGAAAAAAAGACTCAATACCATTTCATTCCTATTTGCGGGCTGGATTTATTAAAACACCGTAGTTCGTGTCAATTTTAATTGATCCCTGCTTGTGAGTTTCAGTAATTAAAAAGATTGTTGTCTTTATAGTTATCAGCCTTAGCGACGGTGTGCTAGCGTGGAATAAATAATTTTAAAGTGTAATTTATATTTTCTTACCTGTACCAAGCACTTTTTTACTTTTTCAGTGCGAAATTTTTATGCAAGAGTACATTAAAGAATGAAAAATTTATTTAATTGACGTTTACCATCACTCTCTTATAACGTATTGCCTATGACACCTGGGCCGTTTGTGTTAAATGCCGCAAGTTCTGACGCCAGTGCATCATGAGAAACTACTGAGGTCGTGCGCTCGCTCTCTACGTCGTGATTGAGAGCCAAACGTTTTTCTTGTCCAGCCTGACCTTACTTTTTCAATAAGCATTTTATCGTACGACCTTCGCTCTCTCTTTCTTCTCTTTTTCCAAACTCGTAGCACGAGGGGCTGTAAAACTTCTGCCGGCCCTGCGAGTGCCATCGTATGTGGCCCTCAAACTGGTATAAGTGGAGCACGCGTGGAGCCGAACGGGTTACATGATGACATGCCGCTCCTATTACATTAACCATCGAATAAGGAATTTATCATTCCACCTCTTTTATTTTCTAGCATTTTAGCTTTACTCGTGCTGATTTATCTCAAAGTGTACACGAAATCATATGATAACCAGCTTAACAGTCGATTCGCCACGACAACAAACTCGCCACCGGTGGCGATTTGACTTAAACGTTATGTGAAGCCTGTTGTATGAAACTTAAATCAAATGGAAGCCAAGGTGTAGTATTTTGCAGAAAGAGAAAAAGACTCAGAAGTAATGTGTAACCTCTTCACTAAGGAACATTATCCGTTAAATGAAATGAAATGTGTTGATATCTCGAAGACTACGATCAGTTTGCGCAGGGCGAAATCAGTGATTTTCGCCTCGAATCTCATACCCTTAGATTTCGCTCCTCCGTAAGTGATGCATAACTTAGCTTCACATGTGAAACGCATCGCACACATCGCTTGGATAAGAAATACCGACTGCGTCTTGTGCGGGGATGGAATAAGAGGAGTTGTACATGTAGAGATCGGTTATCGTTCACCGTTTACGCAATATCAGAATGCATTTTCTCCATAATGTTCTCCGTGCATTTCCAAGGTGCTAACAAGGAGAACTTGTTTAAGAATCAAGAGCTTCTTAGTTGGTGATCATTTCCGTCATTTTCGTCTGGTTTAGGGGTGACTAGAGCAATAAGATGCTAGTCAATTCCTATTGTCAAAAAGTTGAAGAAAACTGTTGTAGATCCGAAAAGAGCAAACAAGAAAAAATCACTTTAGGTAGTAACGTGAAGGTCAATCTATTGATACATCATTGATTATTCAACAGTTAATGCACACTGATGAGTCAACGTCTCAACACAGATCAGTAGTCCCATCAGTACTTTCAACCACAAAGATACTTGAAAATAGTTGTGAACACAACACTCATCAAAGAATTTAGTTTTACACTGAGAAACATTTCAAAGACTGATGATTTAGTTCTAAAACTATATCACGGACAAGAAATTCTTAAATAGTTTAATATGTAATGCAATTTTATTTCATTCCCTCAACAGAATTAACCAACACAATTTTCCTCTATCTCAAGGTATGCGGCCATTACGTTCATATTTTCCTTAATTCCAAAATTAGCTCCTGCTATTGTGAAGGACTTAAAATCCTTCTTAAATAAATTTATATTTTACTTGTTTTAAAACGTAGCGCTGTTATATACAAATACCAAAAATAAAATAAAAACCAATAATTCGAAGAGTTACATGTATGTGATAGAAAAAAATTGGAATGACCTAACTGGTTTGAAAGCAACAAAAAAATTGGTATCAAAAATAATAAATAGTTTATCATTTAATTTCATATGGAAAAGTTTGTTATAATCCAGTGTTGGATAACTATGAAAAAAATACATGTTTTTGAGTCCAGTTTCACGAGGTGAAATATGACATGTTTGCACGAGGATAAAACGCCATGAAACCTATAGCAAACCTGATGTAATCAAATCATCCAATCAGAGCAAAAGATAAATACCACTTTAGCCAACCAGAACTCAAAGTAAGTTCGTAGTCTCAAGCGCGGAATAACACGAGCGACAAGACGCAGTTGTTTTAAATCACCTCACTCTGGTCAAGAAAGAGGTACGATTTTTCTGGACCATTAAGGGAGACCAGCAAGGCAAAATCTTGTAAACTGCTCTGACTGAAACAAATTCTTTCTTTTAGTATTTTCTGGGTACATACGCTTTTTACCTCACCGGTAAGGAAGAAGTCAGCGAAATAAAAGGGAGAATTGAGGAGCATGTCCAAACGCATCCCATCCTTCCTATATATTTTGGATTAGAGTAAATTGAAATACCTAGATTGAAATATACATGACTTAGCATTAACTTTCCTTTCTATATCTTGCCAATAAATATCTCAATTTTGCCTAAAATATTTAACATTTTCACAGAATAGCTTCAAAATCCAGAGAAAGAGAAGAGCACAAATTTTTCAGCACTCACAGGGAAAACGACAGCCCATTTATACTCTCCATCCTCTCAGCTTGTTTGTCATTTGTTACAGCCTCTGGTCAAACTATTGTTTGATTACTTGAGCACCTATATTCCAAATAGTGTGTGGATTGTTCACAGTAGCACAACCAACCCCTAATACTTTTGAAATAATATCAGGAGCCAATCATTATTTATCGCCCGGGGAGGGGTCAGAGGATTTTAGCCGTGTCACGAAAAAATTGACGCGATTTCATTACCACCCCACCCCTGTAAGGCTCTGTGATGTTCTTATGGTCTCCAGTCAATTTCTAAGGTCCACTCTTTATACTCTGTTGGCGACGACTGATCCCCCCTCTCTCCCCCCTGAAAACTATGTGGCCCCCCCCTCAGGCAATAAATGATGACTGGATCCTAAACTATTCCATTAACTGTAAATTCTATGCACATTTTATCGATAATATGCTCGAAAATAAGAAAAAAAACAAACTGATTAGAATCTCTTGTGATGGTTACCATGACTACAGCAACATTTCAGAAAGTAATGGCTACAAATTGTTAACAAATATAAATCATTATTAATTTTTTATATTTATAATAAATTAAGCAAGCTAGAACTACTCTTCATACTAATTTATGATTGTATTGTGTGTAACGAGGTTCTGTTGGTCCATCGGTCACTGTACAAAATTTCACCCCACTAGGGAGGTCAGGGGGTTGACGTGCAAATATTACTCGGATGTCTGTATGAAGATACAATCTGCCAGATTTGGAGCTTACAAATCTGAAATAAATAAAAAAGAGCTCTCATTTTAATACATAATGTTGTGCTACTTTTAACAAGGGATTATAGTTGTCTTGTTCGAACAAAGTTCAAAAAGAATATGGAAAAAGTGAAAAGACCAAAGTAACAGTCCAGGTTTAAGTTTCATGTAATAAGCTGAATTACATGTGCCACTTTATGATTGCTTCTTACTTATGACCTATTGGGGGACAGACCCATACATAACATCTCCATTATTCTTTGCTCCTTTCTCATAAAAAACAAACAGACTCCATGTTGCCATGGGTCTGTGCAGTAATAAATCACAGAAGATCTAAAGTGCGGTAAGAAAATCAGTGAAACTTAAGGCTGTGCCTCATGTACCACTTTCTTGTTCTTACCACATTTTGACATCATCTGTGATTCATTACTAAACACAGATGCACGACCACCTGGGATCTATTTGGTAAGTTATTTACTTGGTTAGGACACTCTACAGGGATTGTTAAATGAAGACTTGTCAGAAGGCAAATTGTGCACAGTTTGGTACAACCATAAAATCTTATCTGAGGGGAGTGCCAAAAGCAAGAATATATATTTTTTTAGAAGTCACATCACGATACAGAAACCTACCTAAACCATGCTATTCTGGGTGAAATAGAAACCAACAATTTACCTAGTACTACATGCTAAGTAATGTTAAACTCTATCTCCTGTAACATCCCTTATTTATACTTTGTATCTGTCCTAGAATCTGAAGGTCTCTCATGCCACATTGTAACAAAAAAAGAAAACTAACCTCAAGTGTATGAGATAGTGTAAGGAATTACGACCCTGTAACAATGGCAACAATACAAAAAATATCAACTCAACATCAGCTTATTCTGCACTCCTTCACCTAAAGCTACAATGAAATAATTACAAATAAGCCAACACTCAGTGTCTCAGGTTCAAAAATACTCCAAAAATGCATCAGTCACATTTAGATCTATCCACTGTCACTTTTGAAATAGCGATTGCCACTTCAGAGTGGGTATTGCAACTCCAAAGTAGAGAATCAAAAAAGTAGAGAGAAGAGTCACTTCAAGGGTGTGAATCTCTAGTTAAAAGAAGCGTAGAGACAAAAAGGCAAATTATTAGTTCAAAGTGGTGATTGCCACTTCAAAAAGTGCCAGTTACAAGCACATGACCATTCCCTCCCAACCCCTCCTTGCAATGTACGTACCACAACAGAGCAAAGGCTGTACGCACCTCAGTTGATTGACAAGTGTGTCTCCACACAGAAAACGTTCTCTGACGCAGAAATGTTTGAGATCTGGGAGGCATATCACTGAAGTCAAAGAGTACTACAAACATTTTCACCACAGTCTTGTTTGGGTTGAACAGAGTCTGAAATCAAATCAAACAAGAATTAATAAGTCACCATCACTCACCCCAAGAAACAGAGAAAACTGCTGCCCTAAAATGCCATGTCATTTCCTTGGAGGTTTTATTCCTTTCAAAGCAGAGCAACGGAAGGGCATTGCAACCAAAATTTTCCTATATGTTGCTTCGATAATTTCAAAACTTCAAAACACCTTTTCTGTATGCATTACAGTACTATGGCAACATGGCAGCCTTATAAAATCACCTTCAATATTAGTTTTACGCTCTTGAAAAATATAAGATCAGTTTCTGAATCAGTGGCCCCTGAATTTCTTTATTTATTATAAGCTTCCTGCAATCATCATATCAAAGTTTCAACAGGAAAACTCAATTGCACAGTCAGTTAATTGTAGATGTTTAAGCAAACAAGCATCTGAACAATCAACTAACAGATCCAACATAGCAAGATATATTAATTCATTCACATCAACATGTAAATTCCAGAGACTACAATTGTAAGAAATTGTTATTGTCAAACATTTTGTCTTACCAGCTGTACAGTTCCCTTGTTGGGTATGTGATAACCTTTATGGCTAATACTTGGATCACTTAAACTTATGTACCCCTGCAATACAAAAACAAACTGCATCCAATTCTCGCTTTTTGTCATAAGCAGGTAAACAAATTTTGCAGATGTAAAATTATCATTTTATTTGTGAGGTGCTGTATCTAATTTTTCTGTGAAATTAATTTCATAAAATTTTACAGAACTGTTCCCCTAAACTAAACTAATTTAGCATCTACCAGTTAAAACCAAAAACATGTTCTGACCATTTCTCTAGTACATGCAATCAAATGGCTCTCACAACCTTCTTAAAAAAAAGAAAAACAAGATGATGATTTTTTGTCAAGGTTTTCTAATCAAAGTGGCTCCTGTTCTAGTTACAGTCCAATGTAATGATATTTTTTGCACAACTGTAAGTCTGTGAATTCTTTTTTTGGGAAAAAGCTTGAAAATCAAGTCCAGCAATGAAGCATAGCAGAACTAGATTGGTGCAAATACTCACCAAATAAGGAGAGGGAGCATTGTCATCAGAAAGGCTAAAGAAAGAAGCTTTCACAGGCAGCTTGACATGAGCAGGACAGAAACTTCCACTGGCACCTAACTCTGCGGTAAAACCCTGTAGTAATACATGTACAAGAAAAAAATCAGGTCAGATTTCCTCAGTCTGTGAGTCAACTGCAATGTACTGTATGACAGTTTTCCTAGTTGTAGTAAGTTTAACTACTATACTCTCTATAAAAAGTATGTTAAATTCAAAAGGAAAGTCACACAGCTATTACCAAAATACAAAACCAGATGTAAATAGTACTGGCTTGAGTATAGGATTTGTTCAGCCTATTAACACAGTTGTTTTATATCCTGGCTAAGTTCAGGCTAAAGGCAGGATAACACAAACCAAAGCTTGTACGCATTCAAGCAAATCAAGGCTAAGAGTTATCTTGAGTCCTTACTTGTAAAATGTGCTTTGAATGAGTCTTCCTCAAATAGTAATAATTATAATAATATCAACTACTGGTAGTGATGAATGAAATATTAATTCTGTAACAGACCATAATCTTAAGGAACATTTCACATTATGTCCAGGAGAAAATTACCTCAACAGTTCCCAGTGGCTCCATTCTACCATTCAACACAGATTCCTACATAAAAAAAGTGTAGTTTTGATAGCCATTGATTTTCAATTTTGTATCTGATTAGTTTTCTAGAAAATACCAGTATTTTATTATTACATTTTATTGATGTTCAAATACATTAACATGATACTTAAAAACTATGGCTCAAAATTATTATTAATTTTAAGATGGTTGCTTACCTCAAAGTTTCCCAAGAGACTCTGGGTTGTGGAAGCAGGTGCACTTTTGCTAAGTATGGATGTTAGGTCTTTTGAACTTGAGTTGTTTGAAAATCCACTAAATAGAACAGAATGATCATGCACATATCAAAAATGCATGAAAATTGATGATTCCCTTTTCCTCATTATCACAGTAAATGGTTACCATTTGGACATGCGACACATGACAAATGAATGCAAGTGACAAGTCAGAGTACATACCAGAGGTGTATGGGACAAACCTTTCCCCTGTGGGGTGTGCATGGGTGTAGATGGTGTGCACGATCAGGAATTGTCACAGCAAACTCACTTAGAGAATTTTGCAGCTCATTGTCCTCTCAAAATTAATCTTTAACAACAACTTCTAGTTATGAATGAGTCATTCCATGCATTGCTGACTCTTTTTAGTACATATAATCATGCTCTATATCATTTTGTATCACCATACTACATATTTGCAGGCAATCTTTTTATCCATCAATCACTTACTTGACTTGTTCTCTACAGTCATCCTCAATGTCCAAATCTGTAGCTGATCGACGCAGAGGAGCCTGATGAAAAACAAGCATTAGTCAAACTATGCAACAATCTGCAAGAAAATTTTCGTAATTAGTGACTCTACTCCTTTTTTGCTTGTCCCAGGAATTTGGTGCACTATAAAACAATTCCTAGTTAAAACATTAATGTTGTTCATATCCTTGAACAATTCATGACTGCAATGAAAGAATAATGAATACAGTCACATACAACATTCTCAGTCAATACTACCTAACCACAAGTCAAGTAATTTCAATCAGTAATTGCTAACTGAGATAATGCATGAATCAAGAATTATGTTCCCAGTCTGTTGCAACAGACATGCCATACTCACTGGACTTGAGGATACCGGAAGACCAGTTCTTGAATTAAAGATGGGAAGAGTACCAGCCCCAACACGCTGAGTCTTAAGTGCTTGGATGACTCCTTTGGGAATATGGATACTTGAAGAGATCTGAGTATCACAACTCTGTTAAAATTTAAGTCCTTTAGTCAGGCAAAGTGCAAGCCACCTCAATCCCAAAAAACTTCACATCTACTCAATCAGTTTCACTAAACAGACAAAGCCTCATAAACAACAGTTTTGCCCCATAACATAACAACTGTTAAAGTGTAGTTAAGGGTGCATGTAAATCTTAAAATCAATTAAAGCAAACAAATACGAACATGTTTTACGGACCCTTAGGAAAGAGCCACACTCCTAGCTTAAAATAGACCACTCGTTTACTTCTTTAGTTTTGGCCAATTTTAGGTATGGTCTCCCTGTTTATAAAGCATCTGAGTCTGACTTGAGCAATATACAGATGTTATAAATTCTGTTCCATTCCTTACCCTTACCAGTTACTTCTATTTTAAGCATGATTGAAAAAATTTTTAAGTAAGCAAACTCCCTAGAGGACTAACCCCTCAGCATGTATGACTGTTTTGAGAAATGACTAAAGGGGGAGAGTTTCCAACAAAACTGTGGTGCTGCATCAGTGGGAGGGTAAAACGGGGTCAATTTAGAATTATCAACTGAGTTCATAATGTAAATTGGCCACCATAAAGAGTTCAAAGCTAATGTTTCAAGTGTTAGCCCTTCGTCATTTGCTCTGACGAAGGGCTAATGCTTGAAATGTCAGCTTTGAAACTCTTAACAGTGGCCAATTTACATGATCAACTCAGCTGATAATACTAAATTGCCCTGTTTATAGAAAGATGGTCAGAAAAAAGGACAAAAGGGCACAAGACAATCTTGAAAGGTCATCTGGCTATCAGGTAATCAATGAATTTTAATGAGTCAAATAAATAAATATTAACTCAATTCATGTATTAGAATAAACTAAGGTTTTGGGAACTTCCAAAGGCACATTTTGTTGTCATGTGTTGCTTTAAATAGCCCCTATCTTCTCCAGCTTTCGGTAACTGGCTTTGAAAACTTGGGATGCTACAAACACTTACCTTTTTTGTTTCTATGTTGTGAGTGGGTTCGTGTATTTTATTTAAGTCATGTTGTTTTGTTTGTGCCTGTAGAGACATTCCTGGTGTTCCTTCACTAAGACTTCTAATATTCAAAAAGCGCTTTTTCAAGCTTTCCTGTGACATCTTTGGGGAAATCAATACTTTCTGGTCAGAGTTTCTTTCTATCTGATCATCAAAAGTTCTGCTGGTTGAGGGATTTGTGACGTCCAAATGGTTTTGTTTATTTGTAAGATTATGTCCATTTAATGTCTGTGAATGGTTATTAGTTTCAAGCTCTTTCATGCATGATTTCTTCTTCAAGGGAGAAGTGAACAAGTCATCACTTAAGTCTGAGCCCTGCAGTCCATTTTTGTGCACTTTATGACCAGCACTGAGTTGATCGATCTTTGATGCCAGAATTTCATCCGTAAAATTAAATATGTCACATCTTGGTAGTGAATGAACACTGACTTGCAATGCTCTGTTGCTATGGAGATTTGCCAAAGGAAACACATGCAGATCAGGATGTTTAAGAAAGCTAGTTGATGAGTATTCCTCTCCAGTTTCAGATATTCTGTAGATAGCAAAAAAAACACTTTGATGTATGCACAATTAATGATTAATTGCAGGTCACATCTAAGTTGACTTAAATTTCTTTGTTGTTTAGTGGCTGAACACCTGTTTGAGATTTCACCCTCATAACGAAGGAGTTTGTGCCATGTGATAAAAACAGAGTTTTCATTGAGAAATGTACTAGTATAATTATGTGCCCCTCCACTGGAAAACATGCACTAGGGTGAATGTATGGGAACCACAAAATGACACACTGAACGATGGGCAGTGATTGAAATGACACAGCTGCTTCTGAGTGCTGTGTCCAATGGAACAACTAATAAAAATATTTCTTTTGCATATATGGTATGATAAAAACAAAGGTGCATGTCAAGAGGAACAGTACCAAGTTTGTTGGGTAAAGTGGCTTTCTCATGGCGTTATTGGGGATGATGAAACTATTTAGGAAAAAAGTTTTAATCTTGTAGTAGATTAAACATTTGATTTAAGTTTCACCAACCTGTAAATGATTTTAGAAGGAAGGGAGCCTTTACTTCTGCTTAACCAGGCACTCAGCTGTGAGAAATGAATGTGTGACCTTATGGCCTGCATGAGCATGCTACCACTACGGCCATGAACAACATCTGACCTATTATAAAAAAATGAGTGACTAATTACTTTTTTTGCCTTCCCATGCTCAATTGAATAACATCACTCAGTATTGAGTGACCACATTCAAAATTCACCATCCTTCTTATACTAGGCAAAAAACAAACACTTTGAAAACTACTGATCCTTGCAGTATGTAGCTGGTTTGTGTGATATCAATTTGCTATACAGACTAATTCACCAATCTATATCAGAGAGGTAGAGCACCATACTTTGAAATCTGAAGGTGTTAGGATTGCAATTCTCAAGAGGACTTAAATTTTTTTTTGGCCCATGTTCAAGACAAGTGGATAAAATGTTTACTATATCTGAAGACAAAGCCCAAGGCCTTATATCTTCATCTACTTGTGAAAGAAAACACCCCAGAGGTGAAAGAGTTAACATGATCATAATTATGTAACTTTTAATTGAGTAACGAATAAAGAACTAATAATAAGGGGATTCATATTGTGTTATTAAAAATAACAACAATCAATCATTGATTTTATCAGTGCACAGGTAGTTTAGAGAAGAGAATTTGTCTTTCCTTAATTGATAGTTTCATTTGCTTTGAATCCAAAACTTTTTCCCCTCTTTTTTTTTAACTACATGCCATAGTGCATAGATGCTTCTACATGTAGGTTAATTAATGCTTCTAAAGTTACATAATTAAACATCACATTACGACCAGCAAGCTACTTACTCATTCACTACTTCCACTGTCCATCTTTCCAGTAAAATCAAACTATTCTGAGAAGGTTCTTCTATCAAAACACTTATCACCAGAGGAAAGCTGTTCTCCCATAAAGCATTCATCTTTTCTTTTCTTTCAGATACTTTCTGGCACTGCCCCAAAAATCAAAGACAGGAAAGAGTTTGCCATTAGATTTAATTTTTAATTTATTGTAAAACTGATATTGCTACAAATGATCAAGAGAAAACAGAGTGCAGCTCACTTAATCTTTAGTTAGTGAACATCTTAACACAGCCACTAGGTGCAGTTAGACCCTTCCTTTTTGATATCTTTATTCACAGACACTTCCAGTAATGAACATGAAATCTACACATAACACAGTCAACTCTCTCAGCCAACCATATTTAGAGCAGGAAAAAGAGGTCCCTTTGAGGATATGATAGCTTTAGGAGAAAATCAATATTAAAAGACAAAAAACAGATCAAATCCACCAATTATCTATTATTTCACTATTAACTGTACAAGTATACAGTTTCTCTGAGTAAAACATGCATTAGTCATTGTTGGCTTTTGCAACATGCACCTTTGCACTTCAAAATGTGTTACTGCTGAAAATACTTGAAAGCTGGTCACCTCAGAAGACTTTCAACAAAATTGCTAAATGATAGAGACAATATACATCCTTACAGTGATTGCTTTTAAAGGTCAAACAGGTCAAGTAAAAGCAAGAGTTTTTGAAACAGTACTAGACTGAGAAACAAAATGAATATTTACAACAAGGATGCTTGAAGGATTAACTGTTGCTTAAAAGACTGGTCAGTGAAGAGAGAGTCAACTGCAATTATTTAATCTTCTCTCATTGAACATGCACTTGTATTTAAAGGATGCTTCAATTTAGGGGACACTTTTTGTGGTACTGAGGCTGTACTTTCAATAAAAGCCCCACTACGCTGGTTGACTTACACTATAGTTTCCTTTCTGGTCACAGACATGAGGCACAACATTGAAAAAGGACAAACAATGAGGTCCTTCCACTCTGCCTTTCTCTGAACACTGTGGTGTACGTCCCTCCAGTATAAGCATGCCAATGTGCACAAAGAACTCTCTTGCTTGCATCTCACACTCCATTTCCTCAGCAGAAATCTCACTTTCTGCTCCTGTGAGAACTTGACATTAAACAAAATTGGAAAAAACTTTAAATGAGTATTTTCTCTTAATAACATTATATCCCAATTGAACCTTCTAATGAAACTTTGCCCTAAAAAAGGGCTAATGCTCCAACTGGCAGTGTACCAAATTTAAGTTTGTCAATGTCCTATAACTAATTAACAGTTAACAGGTTTTTTATTTTCCTTTTGATACAGGCTTCTCACAGTTACAAATTATTAAGTCAAGTATACAGCAATAATAGAACTAAGATCATACCTCCATTAGACCTTGCCATGTTATGTAACTTAACAAAATAAACAAAATCAAAAGCCTTTGTATATTTGAACTTAGGTTCAAATGCAGTGAACCATTTATTAAAAACACTAATAAATTTGACCTTTGTACCAAAACAATGATCATGCTTTAACTAAACATCTCAGAGGACTACCTCTCTATATTCTTACAAAATGAAAACAATAAAAAAATTAAAAAAACATATTATGAAAAAATGTGAAAGAATCCAAGACCAGAAGGTTACTTTCTATTCCTTCCCATGAGGTCATAGTCTATCAATACCCAATTCATGATGCAAGAGAGAAATTTTGTACTTTCATGCTCTGAAAACATTTCCAGAAAAGCTCGTTGATGTGTCCTGTGCTAAGACTCAAGTTTAATGTTTCAATAGAGGGTGCATACTAAAAGATGAAGATCAGATATCCTAAAAATGGCTTTAATCTTGGGCCCTAAAATGTTGATAGGTACATTTCTAAGATGGAGAACAACTAGAGTGCAAATTTCTCTTTGTGTCACATTTCATTTTAAATTGCCCAATCGTGATTCAAACTTTTTATTGTTGTTACCACATGCAAGTTCCTTTGGCTACGATAGATGAATACTGTGTTCCTTTTGTTAAAAAAAAAAAACAAAAAAAAAAAAAACAATAATAATAACAAGTCGTTCTGCACAAGGTTCTTAAGACAACCGAAACATGAAAGCTTTATTTATTGCACAGCCCTCAAAAACCTTACGCTGAGGTTTATACCAGACAACAATCATGCATTTTATATGACGAAGAATATTTCAGTTACAAAGGATAGCATGTATTGCCAGATTTACATAACAAAGTTCACACTGTATATTACAGTGAAGTGTGCAACACAGGAAATCTACTTGTAACTCTTTCTATGTGATGGACGATTCAAATTACAGCTCCATATAATGGTTATTGTAAAGAACTGTCCTACTGATAGCGAACATAACTTCGTGAAGTAATGAATAACTTCGGCTTTGTTGAAAAATCATCAGAGGCTCAACTAAACGAAAGATTAGTTTTCACTGAAGGTCGAATGCCGAGGCGAATCGTGCCAACCAATTAAGTACTACTCGAACTTAATTCATAAACAGAGCTATTTCAAACGAGAATTCTAATTTAAAATTTATCAAAACAGCAAATCTCGACCACACAACTTTCATTTAAAAACACGTCAGCAATTTGCTTTAAAATATAGGAATACCTTCACAAACTTACCTTCACTTGGCTTCATAATTTTTCTTCTCGCAAAGTTAACTAAAGTAAGGTAATCATCCTTGTAATCTTACGGGCGAAAGTACGACTAAATACACTCTTACTTATTTATACTAGCGAAGGAAATGACATAAATTGCGGAATCGGCGACAAGAGAAAAAACTTTTCTGTTTTGCGCTCGAATATCATAGAGCCAGACAACTGATTCTAGAGGAGTTATGAAATCTGATTGGTTCGCGTCACTGAGTAGATTCTGTCATCAATAACGAGTTCACGTGCCGGAAGTGAAGTTTGAAAGGCTGCTAAAAATAGCTACACGTGCAATCCCTGAGGTCTTGCCTTGTTGCCCGACAAAATAAATAACAAAAACAAATATCTCATTTTACATCTGTCACGACGATTGCCTTGAAAGATATGAGATTCACGAAAACATCAACAGCAAGATCGGTGAATAAATTTCCAAAGAGTGATTGCGTTACCACGGTATTCAGTCCGGATATCCTCTACTTCATTTCAGTTTAAGGCTCTGAACTTATGCAGTACAGGTATAAGGGTAATTCTATGAGAGCTGAAATTTTAACCATTGACCCTTCGTCGCCGAAACCTCAGCTTAAGGAACTATTTACGGTGACCAATTCTCTTGTGTTACCCCCACCAACGTAGGCCTGCAGTTTGTTTAGAGACTTGTCCTTGTTCTAATAGCGTTGCTTAGCTACAGTCGCATTGAAGCAAGGGCCTCTCTTCGGCCTATACTCGTCACGAGTATCTTTGAGTTACCGAGTACTCGGTCAAATGCAAGTCACGTTAATTTCACAACAATCTTCTTAACTTTCCTTCCTTCAATTAATCTATAGACGTGGTTACATACACCTTGGGTTTGGGGCCTTACGGAGGGTAAATGGCTTGGGTTTGGTTAAGCTCAGGTTTCATGTTGCCCTTGGGGATGCGGTTACAGAGTGAAAGACTCCCTTCAGGGGTAATCTCTCATATACCGGGTTCTGAAATAACTAATAATTAACAGATAGGTGTAGTGGGTACAGAGGATCAGTGAACAGAGGGCACAGAGAATTAGTAGTACAGTGGAAATATAGGAACGGAGGATCAGTGAACAGAGAACTATGGGGTACAGAGGACCAGAGGAACAGTGAGACCAGAGGAACAGTGGGCACAGAGGACCAGTGGGTACAGAGGGGCAGAGGAACAGTGGGAACAGAGGAACAGTGGGCACAGAGGACCAGAGGAACAGTGGGTACAGAGGAACTTTTTAACAAATTCCTAGACAAGCACCCACAGAAGGCTCGACTCTGCCAGGAACACCATATTGATCCAGAGGATAATAATATTGATTTGGCCTAGGTGCCAGAACACAAAGCTTTTGTCTATTGTAAAACTGCTTTGCCATTCTCTACATGTAGTTTAGGATCTGAGAATTTGGTGGCCAATCAAACTCAATCCCTTAGTTGATAATTTGTGTGAATTTTGAATGCTTTGGTGTTATTGGCATTCATATTACTCCCACGAGGAGTGAAAGAGTCAAATCATAAGGTTATGGAATACCTACGAGGAAGATTTTTCTGTGAGAGGGAACATTTATTACCCTCTGCTACCTTAGACAAAAATTTTCACTGAGAACTTATAGGCTCCTGTTGTAACTTTGAATTCTCTCAGGGAAATCCTGGCTACAGATTGCAATGGCACATCCAAACAATAGAGATGAGTGTCATAAAGTGATCATTCTATAAGACGTTACCAGCTGATATATAACAATTCTAAAGTGTGTCAATTTGAAATATTCAAGGAGAAAAGTATGATTTAAGTTCTGGTTAGGGATTTTGTCATAAAAACGAGAAAGCTTTTAATTATTATATAATTTGGTTAGTAATGAGGAATAGCTTTGTTTGTGGTCAAATAAATTGTTTGTTAAGTGGAAAAGGTATAGCTAAGTTGCTTTGACTGGAACAAGGTGGAAGTTTGTAGCATCCTTATTGATTATATAATAAAACATATTTTACAACAAGTCTGAAAAAACTTCAACACTTAAACTCTAGGGGAATATGATGCGGTAACTAGAAAAGCTTAATATTTTTCACATTTTGCATAGGGAAAAAATTTTGCCCTACACCTAAACTCAGCCTTTTAGACTTGTGACTGAAAGGAAAAAAACATTAAATAATATTCTGACTGTACAGAAACACAAGGTTCAGAGTTGAAAAATGATTTGCTACCTTATATGAATAACTTTAAATGCAGCCATAGGATTTCAACAATTTTGGGTGTCTTCTGGCACTGTCCCAACTGGTGCCTTTATGTCTTCTGTTCCCACTTTTTCTCTGGTCCTCTGTACCCACTGGTCCTCTGATCCCACTGTTCCTCTGATCCTACTGTTCCTCTGGTCCTCTGTACCCACTGGTCCTCTGTACCCACTGGTCCTCTGGTCCTCTGTTCCTACTGTTCTTCTGGTCCTCTGTACCCACTGGTCCTCTGTTCCCACTGTTCCCCTGGTCCTCTGTTCCCACTGGTCCTCTGTACTTACTGGTCCTTTGGTTCTCTGTTCCCACTGTTCCTCTGATCCTCTGTACCCTCTGGTCCTCTGTACCCACTGGTACTCTGTTCCCACTGTTCCTCTGGTCCTCTATAACCACTGGTCCTCTGGTCCTCTGTACCCACTGGTCCTCTGTTCCCACTGTTCCTCTGGTCCTCTGTACCCACTGGTCCTCTGGTCCTCTGTACCCACTGGTCCTCTGATCCTCTGGGCCCACTGTTCCTCTGGTCCTCTGGGCCCACTGTTTCTCTGGTCCTCTGTACCCACTGGTCCTCTGTACCCACTGGTCCTCTGTACCCACTGGTCCTCTGGTCCTCTGTTCCAACTGTTCTTCTGGTCCTCTGTACCCACTGGTCCTCTGTACCCACTGGTCCTCTGTTCCCATTGTTCCCCTGGTCCTCTGTTCCCACTGGTCCTCTGTTCCTGCTGTTCCTCTGGTCCTCTGTTCCCACTGTTCCTCTGGTCCTCTGGTCCTCTGTACTTACTGGTCCTTTGGTTCTCTGTTCCCATTGTTCCTCTGGTCCTCTATAACCACTGGTCCTCTGGTCCTCTGTACCCACTGGTCCTCTGGTCCTCTGTTCCCACTGTTCCTCTGGTCCTCTGTACCCACTGGTCCTCTGGTCCTCTGTACCCACTGGTCCTCTGATCCTCTGGGCCCACTGTTCCTCTGGTCCTCTGGGCCCACTGTTTCTCTGGTCCTCTGTACCCACTGGTCCTCTGTTCTTACTGTTCCTCTGGTCCTCTGTTACCACTGGTCCTCTCTACAACCAGTCCTCTCACCCACTGTTCCTCAGGTCCACTGTGCCCACTGGTCCACTCACCCACTGGTCTTCTGTGCCCTCTGGTCCTCTGTACCTTCTGGTCCTCTGGAATCACTGTTCCTTTGTTCCCACCGGTCTTCTGTTCCCACTGTTCCTCTGGTCCTCTGTACCCACTGGTCCTCTGTTCCCACTGGTCCTCTGTTCCCACTGTTTCTCTGGTCCTCTGTGCCTACTGTTCCACTGGTCCTCTATTCCCACTATTCCTCTGTTCCCACTGTTCCTCTGGTCCTCTGTACTCACTGGTACGCTGTGCGCTCTGTTCACTGACCCTCTGTACCCACTCACTTTACCATTCTGCTATATCTATCAGTTAATTATTAGTTATTTCAGAACCCGCTATATGAGAGACTACCCCTTTTCAGGGTCAAATATAATTAGATATGAGTTCACTGACCTGACAAATTGGCAGGAAAAGTACAGAGCAACGTGGATGCAATCGAGATCTATTAAGCTAAATGTCAGTGATTCTCCTGCCTGCTATACGACAGTCCTCCATAAATACAACAGTCCAGCAGTTTTTTGTGAGAAGACACCGAAGAAGGCGCAAAATCAGCCAAGCGCATCGGAGGTCACCTCAAAACACTGCAGGCGATTTCCTATATTAGCTACATTCTGCTTTATGTTTGGTCAAGCCGCCTCAGGGAGTAGATAAACCGGACTTTTCAGTCCAGGAACTGTCATGGGAAATTCTTTTGTTCTTTTTGATGTATCTATGGAAATAACCCTAGGGCAGTTTCAGTCTGGGGCAAAACGCTATTTACCCATGGGTAAAAGGGCTAGTGTAACCACGACCTATATAATTATTATTTTCATTATTGTTGTCATTGTTACTATTATTGTTATTATTATAGATATCATTTATCTTTTCTTTTACCTTAGAATATTTTAAAAATATATGTATTTTTGGAGGCTTGAAAATTCTTATTATTATGACAATTATAATTACCATCGTGATTTATCATTATAGTTATTATGATTATAACTGTTGTCGTAATAAAGATACTTACTGAGCAACACCATTATGGTCTTACAACTTACCAATACTACACAACAGAGAAAAAAAGCGCCTAATAACAGATTCAGATTTCCTTTGCATTTAATATCTCCGAAAGCTACTAGGTTATGTCAGAGATAAATAAAATAAAACTAGCATGCTTTAATTCATACTCACCAAGTACAGCAATCTACTTAAAATACACTTACATTGTGATGAATCATAAAAACTCACTGATTCGTAAACCTAAGGTACTCTTAAAGTTAAACTTCAATTTGTCTCAAGTCAGAAGTTCTGATCCTATCTAGTTTGTCATTCCACTTTTGAGGGGATACCAGGTATCTAGTGGAAGGTAACTCAATTGGTGTAGTTCCAGGGTGTGTGTTCATCTGAAACTTTATTTGATAGATCAAGTGACCAGTTGTTCAGATAAGTACCTTGTTGTATCCAATTTTGGATGACAGAATGATCAGCAAGTACTATCCTCCTTCGAGCAGCCGATGAGACAGAATCACGCCGTCTCGCAGCTCGGTTAATATCCGCCACTATATATACACCTTCACCTCTGTGAGAAATTCTTAATTGGCGCGTTTGCAAAACTGAAAACTCTTATTTAGAAACCGTAGTTAAGGTTATCTGGTCCACAAATTGAACCATCAGATCTACCTAAAGCTAACAACAAAAATGCTTATTCATTGTTTCTATACGTAACCTTAAAACTGAAACAATTCGCCCCTATTCACCATGAGCTTCATTTTCTTTGTTGTGGTACCCAGTCGCTTATTGCAACACGTTGTGCAACTGTGGCCCTGAAATTTTTTCCCGGCCTCCCCTCATATGTCTTGGCACTGCGCACGTTTTCTCTCTCTTTTGGTCTTGATTCGAAGGCAAAACCATGCCGGTTAGTAGCAGGCGATTCTGCCCCTATTTCGCCCCCAAAAATGCACAGAGAATGCCCAAATAACTACCATAATCTTGTATAATACTTACTTCACTAGTTTCGGGGTTAATATTGTGTATTGTCGCAGTGTTAACACGAGAACAATTATGACTTAGCTCTTCCTTAGAAACTCCACCAGCACTTTCACTTTCAAACAAGCACTGTCTCCATGTTTTATGAGGATAGATCTCCTTGAGAAACGTTGGTGTTTGATTTCAGAAAGTATTGGTCGGACCATGTAGTATAGATGGTTGATTGTAGATTAAGATCGGTTACTCGAGATGTCCTTAGGACGAACTGAAAAATCTCCAAAGGGTAAACAGCCTTCTGCAATGAACAATGCTCCTTTCCAAGGCACCAGTATTTCCTATTTATTAAGTCTTTTACTTCGTGTATAACAATCATACAAGAAAACGGCAGCTAGCTTGACAACATAAGGGTACAGTTTCTTGTAAAGTACCTTTCATCAGGAAATTTTTAGATTATTAGCGGGTAAATGTTAGTCTGAGTAATTTAGATCCTCGTTCAAGATGGTGAAGTTATCGTGAGAGAAGGGGGTTAGTTGGTATATGAAGAACTTTTTGTGAAATTTGCAAACTGGGGACAATCAAGGTGCTTGTCAGTGAAGGCATAAGAATCACCGCTAATTTTAATCCTTTGGGCACCTTTCAAAACTATTGGTACTGTCTGTTATTCTGGATCTTACTTTTGTTATGAATTGGTTATTTAGTTGTTCAAGGATCTTTTGCATCCCTCTGTTGAGGAAGAGAAACGGAAGCACAAACTCAAACGGCTTGTTCAAAGTCCAAACAGCTACTTCATGGATGTGAAGTGTCCAGGTGAAGTCATTAGCAAGTAGTGATGTAGAGTGATAAATTTATTGTAAAGGTAACCAGGTAACAGTAGGAAATAAAATGACTGAAGAAGAAGTAAGAGATTGCAATGATCAATGAAATGGTAGTATTTATTCAGAGGTCTCAAGCCTCAAGCAGTGAGTGTGAGACTTGCACAAACAGATTCAATCTCATGCTGAAACAAATATTTCTCAGGCATTAACACTATGGCTGGGAAATGCGTCTTGACAAAAAGGTGTAGCTTGATAATCTTGTGACTTATATACTGTTTTGTTCGGTAAAAAAAAAGTGCAGTTGGTTTTAACAATGCATTTACTGGAATCTGAGCCACCAAAGTAATAAAATAGAAATCAGGAGGCTAACCTAAAACAGCACATTTTAAAGGTTTTCATTCCCATCGAACAATGGCAAAAATAAAACTATTAAATCTTAACGTTTTTGTTGGTCGGTGATGTTGAGGTGACCAGTGTTAAATGTCAAATGAAATTTTGGTCTTCAAGCACCTTTTAATGCTCACAAAAAAAGCAGGTCTGGTAACCAGTAGGTTTCTGCTGCCTATTGGTTTCTTATGACAACCTTGTGAAAGAATTGAAAGCTTTATAAAATTGGTATTAAAAAGGTTTGGGAAAATGGACTTTTGTATGTTTGAAAAGCCCTTCAAATGCACTGATTATGTTTCATTTCTTGAATGGTCCAGGTTTCAAAACATGCGCAGTAAACTGTTAACCCCTGACCAAAGTCACAGTATACATCTTTAGGGACTAAATTTCTGTTATTAGTTGGAGCCCTGTACAGAGTTTAGTAATAATCATCTTATTTTTCCACAGGTTGCTACAAAATCACAACTGTGTTCAGCCATGCCCAGACAGTTGTTCTGTGTGTGTCATGTTCTATGGTGCTCTGTCAGCCTACAGGAGGGAGAGCAAGACTCACAGAAGGTTAGAATGAACATTGAACATTAGCTGTAATTATAGACAGAAATTGTCATGATATGACCTCATGAAAAACATTGATGGAAAAATCCTAAGTTCATGGTTAACCAGGCAAACAGTGCTGAAAAAAAAAAAAAAAAAAGCTGCACAACCCTGTCAGATGTAAGCTGAAAGAAGGACGGAAGAAATACTCTATCTGAGAGAGAGAGAGAGAGAGGTCATGATGGAAAAAAATATTTGGTTCTTGGTCATGAAGAATAGACCTTGTGCAAAATATATTCATGTCAAGCCTTTCTAACTAGTCATTAAGTGCATATTAAGTCCATAAATAGTTTGGTTAGAGGTCTGCATGTGAAGCCTTAAAAGTTGCAAACTCTAAATGAACCACTGGGTATTTAGATTCAGTGTTAATTATTGCAATGCTACATAGAACTCTTGGAAAATAAGTAAAAAAATGGCAATAGTTGAAAGGGGATTAGATGGGTAAAACTGGACCAGAAGTGCTATCTCTTGGTTAACTATACGCACTTGTTTGGTATTTTCCTAGCTCATTATTATTGGAATGTCAGTGTGTTATGTTTTGAGACCATCCTTGGTTATCTTACCTTATTTGAAACCAGCCTTTACTGTTTCATTGCCAACAGAATTAAATGGTATAATAAGGAAATAATTGTTTCTTTTACTCCAAGGATTTAAGAGCTCCACAGAATTCTCTAAACTGATGGCAAGGATTTTTTTTTTAGTTGTCTTACTCAGAGAATTCTAAACTTCATTGACACATTCTTTTATTGTTTATCTCCTTAATTCTCCAAATTCTAATGGGTATGTTAGACAAAAGAGTGAAATTGTAGTGGGTTACTCTGGGGTCTTTTGGGAATCAGACATCTTTTCACCTGGGGGTATTAATGGGTAACCACAAACTGTAAGGTAAACTGGAAAATTGCTGAGCTCTGAAGATGACCATGACATCCAAAAAGAGTGGACGCACTCCTTGTAACTGAGTAATTCAGAAACTGGAAATAAGCACTGGCAGTTAAGGGCCACCTGGCCTGAACCCCTTTACTCCCAATGTCTCATTAGCGATTTGCTTTTCCATCTACCATACAATTCCTGATATTATTGTGGCAAATTTGGTCTTGGATCAGCTATAAATCCCCTAACTGATATTTTCTTCATTCCCATCCCTTGTTTGCTTGATATTGTATTGATATTGTAAGGAGAAAATCTTTCTCAGTCACTTATGGGATTTAAAGGGTTACAAGGCTAATACTTGTAACTTAAGCATTTGTCTTTGTTGTTGGGCTGCTTGATTTTAATGTCTGTTTCACTGTTTGTTTATTTTTATTTTAGGTTGCTCCTTCAGGAGGAAACAGAATTGAATTCCTCTTCAAAGAATATTGCAGAATTAGGAAAAAGCACCTTTAAATCAACACTGATTTAAGTCTCTTTTTTTATTAGCTTAATTAACAACAAATCTCTTGTTGGAGCTTCCTGTTTTCAGAAGTAATGTAGGTGTTTAGACCAAAGGAACTGTTAGTGTTACTACACTTTAAGTTGGGTGGAGTTGAGAAGGGTTAAGTTTTGTTCACTGGTAAGAACAGCGGTGTCGTTGCTCAGACAGAAATGATCTTGCCGCTGACATTGCCTCTGTAAATAAATAAAGTCAGTGTTGATTTATGTCGTGGTGTGTTTCTTGTTCTTATTGACAGTAGCATCCTGCCTGATAGCTTGAGGCAAGTGTAGAAGCCCAAGGTTTGCAACCTTGTTCCTCTTATTGCCAATTAAGTGTCAGCAGATATGTAGCTATTATCATCTTGATTGCCACTCTTGGGTTTCTTAGGCCGGGATGTGTTGCACTACTGCATTGTCGACCTGAGATTAAAATTGTCATATTTGGGAATCATTTTAGACCGTCTACACGAGGAAATTTCTGAGAATCATTCCCTAGGTTTTCTGTTTCTGAGATTATCTGGACTTGATTCTAAGTTACAGATTCTCAGCCGCAGAATTTTCACACTCGATTGGATGTAAAGCACTCTTCCAAGTTAAAGTATGGGTTTATTTCGTGTCCCCTTAGATAACCTTGTTACCATTTTCTCGCTACACCGGTAGTCGAAAGGTTTTATTGTAAGGGTAAAGCATGCTATTATTGTTCATCGGGGTTCATCCACTTTACTTTTCACTTAACCCTTTAACTCCCAAGATCTGATCGTTCATTCTCCCCTCTAGCTGCTACACATTTCTTTGTAAATTAGTTACACAAATTTTGTGTTAGATCAAGATAACAACCTCCACTTGATAAGTTTGAGTATTCTCATAACCTGTTTGCTGAATAATGTGAGGATATTATAAAGAGAAGTGTCGTGTAAATCACTTCTGGGAGTTAAAGGGTTTAAAACGAAATTTTCACCCTTACATTTGAAAACACATGGCGCGAAAGCAAAAAAAATCATATTTTCATTACCTTTTAACCATCCTCTAACATCCAAACAAGCTAAAACATATTTAAGACAGAAGATTACTTAAAATTCATATGATCAAAGGCCTAACATAAAACGCTCCATGGCACAAACGAGAAATTATTGGTTTACTTCAGAAATATTGTTCATGGGCAAGTTAAAGCCAATGACAGTGTCCCAAAGTACAATGGAGAAGAATGTTGGCGATGCTCAATCTTGCGTTACGTTTGTTTGTTTGAGTGACTCAGCATACTTGGTGAAGTGACAGAGACTCGTTTTGTGATTTTGAGGTTCATATCCTGTCCAATTTAAGACCCTCCTGCTCCAAAATTTCGCTTTGGTCAATTATTTATGAGCATGAAGATTACTGGCCGCATCACAATTCTGTTAGAGGGTTTAATTCTTCCGCTCGTTGCAGGTAAGTCGAAGGCGTTGAATTTAGAGCTCCGCCGATTACGTAATTAAACATACGGTTTGTCAGCTTTTTTCAATATGTATTGGTGTATTGGATCATATTTTTTGCAGTGAGAGAGATTGGTTTTTCGTAGGGCAAGTTTTGGCCCACCCTTGTATACAATGGCTCTCTAGTCTGAATCTCGCCCGAGTTATGTGCTCTCCCAGATCAGCTCCACTTGAAGTTTCGATACCATGTTTAAGTTTATATAGAAATCCACGTTTTCCTTCAGTAAAGTCGCTGACGAATACATTTATTGATGATAGCTCTATTGAAAAAAATCTCAATAATGGCCGAAGTAACTTGCAATGAATGATTAACAATATTAATATAGTACAAAACGAAACTGCCAAGAGACCTGGTTTACGCTGTGTTACGTGACCCTTTCCGTTAGCGCATTCCGTGTTTTACGGGCACAAGCTAAGTTTTAAAAGCGTTCTTTAAAATAGGAGATGAACAAGCGGGCTACGTCTCTAAGGAAAGTGTGGTGTTGCGTCGGTGGAGTCTAACTACATAAACTGGCTTTATCATTCAGTTGACAACGTAAATTGGCCACCCTGAGAGTTTCTTCGAAAGCAAATTTTCATCATGAACTCAATTGATGAAACCCAATTATTTCCCTTTTAAAAAACCTTGTCACACTTGGTCATATGACTTGTTAGGAGTAAACTTGCCGCTTCTGTTTTCATAGCCAGGAATATATTTGGTTGAAACTGACGAACTTATCGTGTTAACCCCTTAACTCTCAAGATCAAATTGTAAATTCTCCCCTTAAGCTGCTATATATTTCCTTGTAAATTAGTAATGAGAATTTGGTGTTAGATCAAGATAAAACCTAACTGATAAGTTTGAATATTCTCATTACCTATTTGCTGGATAATGTTAGGATTATAGGGAGAAGTTTCATGGTGATCACTTCTATAAGTTAAAGGGTTAACGAAGAGGAGGTCACGCAATGAGCTATCGCCAAAGGCCATTTATATTAGTTGTATGGGAGTATAATTTTTAGAACTTTCGAGATATTACAAGCATTAGTTGATTATTGTCCGTCAGGAGAGCTTATTTGCAATACCATTAAGTAACGAAATACATGTTATTGATCATGCAGGTAGTCTCGCCAAAATTCTATGTCCCGGATGCACAATGCTGAAATCTCAGGCATGCGCAGAAATCTAGTCAACACCGCGAGATATTTAGCGTTTCCTTTCTTTTATAATCATTTTTTTGGTGGGGGAAGGTACTCCCCTATCAACGTTTAGTGGCTGAAGGAAATGAGGAATCAGAGTCCCCATAACAAAAATCGTCCCGCTAGAAGCTTTTTTGAGAGGAAACTCTTGTCAATTTAGCTTTCAAAACTCCAGGTGATCATACAATTGTTATTCACATTAAGGGTAGTTTGTTTCTCCTTTATCGCAGTTAGCGGTTTGAAATGCCATCACTGCCTAAGCTCGTCATCGCTGTATGACTGTGGCAAGTCAAGCGAGAAGATTGAATGTCCTGAAATAGCAGACAACTGTGCTAATATTTCCACTGAAGTCGAGACTAGCGTTGGTTCGATTAAAAGCTATTTCTACGGCTGTGCTACCAAGAAAATGTGCGACGATGCCAGGGAACAACTTAAAGTGTGTCAAAAGATCAGTGGTGGAGGCTATAAAGTGAAATGCAACATCACTTGCTGCAATGGAGATTTATGCAGTCCAATCGTTACTTCACAAAGTACCATGTCACTTTCAGGCCACTTTTTCCTACTTCCTGTTATAATTTCCGCTCTTTCTTATCTTAAAGACTACTGAACAGCAACTGTTTTGTGCATCTCGAATTTCCCTTACCAAATGCATTTTTCATTATTCAGATTTCGTATTTCATGTTGGACGAGAGATAAAAAAAAGGTGACCTTGAATTAGCCTCGTTGTTTAAGTTATTTTTCAACTTACTCGATGCGGAGAGATAAACTTCATGAATACAGTAGATCACACCATTCTAAAAAATTGCATTGTTGCTGTGGAACCTAGGCATGCACATGATTGGAGAAAAAACACTAGTTTCGATAAAATAAATAAATGTGTCAATGTTGTGTGATTACTTGAGCTACAAGATGCTGGCTTGCGCCCAAGTTCGAACAAGTCAGCAGACTTTTAATGGATGCTATTTTCGTCTGATATAAACTGAAACACGCGCTTTACATCTTCAGTGAGCATGAACAATAGTAGCAAGGTTGGCCCCTCGCAACCATTTTTCGCGTGACCAGAAATGTTAGTGAATTCATAAGATGTACAATAGCTTGGCTTTAAGGGCTATGATTGTCACGAGTCATGTGACAAAATGTCACGCCAAAGTATTTTGGAGGTTAAGCAGGGTGAGATGGGAATAAGAAAACAAAACAACAGGTTTTTCAACAAAACTATTTTAATATTAAAAAATTCCTTAAATGACAAGCGGAACATGTACTCTTCCCCAGTGGACAGCGCCCAGCACATCATAAACAGGAAAAAATAAGCATTCGTGAAGTTCTCACAAATCAGTCATACCCCTCTATCCCTATGTTTGATTGGTTGTGGCTGTGGTCACGTTAATTCTTTGACCGATGAGAAGGCAGGATTTCACCCGTGGACCAAAATATGGCCGACTTGAAATTTTGGTTACGTTACAAAATCACGCAACGCCCCTGATAGTGGTCACGGTACGGAAAATCACGAAAGAGTGTCACGCAAAGCCATTTTAACAAATGTAAATTATTATCGTCACAGACCAAGAAGGAGTGGCTTTCCATTCAGACGATAAAACGTACACAGAGACATCGGGCGTTCTTGACATCTATCTTGAGAGAGAGGGAAATCGAAACGTTCGAGAGGATATGTTGCAACATGCCAACTGTGATCAGATCAATGCCGCGAGTGAGTTTGTGTTAAATTTACTTAAGAATCGAGTACCTTTGTCACCTCCAACCGCAGCTAGATTAAAACATCACAAACAAGTCTTGCGAGGATTGGCTAAGCGAAGAAATTCATTAGAACGACGCAAACAAGGTGCTGGCTTCCGGAGAGGATTGAACAAGTATGGGAATCGGCTCAAAATGCAGGAGCGTTATATACAATAAAATTTCGTTGTACATCTCGTCGACGACAGTTTTTCCCCTTGATTGTTTGGGTCAGGGTACATCCATTTTTCCTCAAGTGAAAGAATAATATCAAGTGGTATCACCATTTTTCTTCGAGGGAACTCCGTATGGCACTGCCTACATTCTATCGCTTTAGGTGCTTGAGAAAGGAAGCGTACGACGAGAGGCTTGTCGTCGTGGTGAACTACGCTGTATGGATGGTTGTTAGAGGCTTTATAGTCGACATCATAAATATGCAAATGTAATGGTCCAATCAAAGTTCATGAAACTCGACCCCGTTGACCTAAAGTTTTCTGCACCACAACAAATGACAGTTGGCTGTAACTGGACACCTGTAATCGGACAGTCGAAGCAGCCAATCATACTAAGTCCACTTAGCTAATCCACCAATCACAGAAATGATCACAGTGACCATAGCAACAACCAATTATCCAAAGAAAACTGGGGAATTTCCAAAATAGAGTAATTTTGAACAAAAGACATTTTCTCCACTGGAGATATTTGTTCTTGGTGCTTTTGTTTTTTCGGAAATTAAAATGATTATGATTGATTGGTAAAACGATTTCTTGTTGTCCAATTCTGTCTGTAATCATACTGTGATTAACAAATCGGACTCCCGCTTCGCGCTCGTCTGATTTTGTTAGTCACTCGCATGATTACGGACCGAGTTGGACTCCTCTCGGCCCCATTACCATCATAAATCACAACATATCCAACGTCCTAAATATATCTCGGCATCCCCTTTGTTTTACGTCATGAAAGCTGTGTGTGTACAGGAAGAAATGCGGTCGCTAGGCCGCAAAACGACTTTACCATCAATCTGCTTCACATTAATTTTACAGCATTTGGTTCAAAAGATAAATAATGATAATAATAATAATAATATTAATAATAGGCTTAACGTCTCTCTTATTCTTTACAAAATAATATTTTGTATGGAAAATTACAAAAGCTCTACCACACGAGAGAAGATGAACTGAGCTGGTCTGGAAGTCATGCAAGAGAGCCGCGATCGGAAAAACTGATCTTAAAAATTGCGTTTAAAGTTTCTCGAAAATTGAAAACAGGAAACGCGGCACATCGGTGAAAGCATATACTAGGAGGATAAGGAAACATCTTAGCAAAGAATGTACTGAAACTCTGATAACTACCTTTATTTCTAACCGCCTTGACTATTGTGATAGCCTGTCATTTGGCTTACTGGCGTATCAGATTCAGAAACTGCGATAATTGCCGCTAAACATGCAATAATTGCAGCTAAACTCGTTGTTCGTGCGAAAACATTCCCAAGAGCGTGGTGCATTCATTCCAGCAACTGTGGCCGTTAAGAAATTAGATTTCTCCACTTTAAATAACAGCCGCTATTTCGATTCTGCACCTTTGACACCAGTTTTGCCGATTATCTCAAGTTCAATAATTTCACGTCGCTTGGTGGATATAATTTTGGCTGCCACTGGATTTTGATTTTTAGCCTTCTGAATTTTGTACCTGACACTAATTGAGCACATCTGAAGCCATCGTGAAACGAATCTCCAAGTCGCAAGTTGACAAAAGTATCCTCATCGTCCTTGTCCTGAATCCACAATTCTTCATCAGGAGTAAATTGTAAACACTCTAATTTATTCCTTACGATTCGCATCAGATTCGATCAGATCATCAAAGGTAGACACCATCGATCTTTCGGAAAAGAAATATAGAACACTTTTAGCTGGTTCATGTTGTATTACTCAACGAAAGCAGATAAACGACGACAGACAGCAAAAGTGCGGGCAAAGAAATGCCAAGGAATGTTATTACGAGCGTTTGCTTTTTGTGCTAACACCTTTTTAGTCACGTGACCAAAAACGATCGCCTTTGTCGCTAACGGCAACTGTTACGCACGTCTGCGGAAAAACAGTCTACCTGTTTCGGTAGTAAAATCCATAACTATTCCTCAATTTCTAACAAGCTCTTTGATGTAACGACCGTATCTCTAGTACTAACGTTGTCTTACTTTTTTACGAAATATCCGCAAACCGCAATGAACACCAAAACCAAGAAACTGAAATTTTTTTAACACAAAAACCGAAAAGCCGAGCTAAAAAATAGCCAAAACCGCAAAACCGGAAATCCCAATGCCCACCTCCTTCACAAATAACATCATCTACATCGATCGCTCAAACAATCACTAGACAAGACTCCAAGTCGTTTGTATCCACACACCACACATAACAATTTTGAGACTTTGCCGCCTCCATCTAGTTTCAGAGGGAAAAATGACAAGAAAGGTTGTCTCAACTACTCGACGTTTTCCGACGTAAATTCCCGCTTCTTTTCTCTTCTCTTTTTTTCCCGCTTCTCTTTAGCGGGAAACCGATGCATACTAGCGGTGTCTCGTATCAAACGACACAGCGGCAAAATGAGTGCGCATGCTCGGCGGATTTAGCGCGATTTCCGCGATTTGTGATTCCAGTGTGGATGAAGTTCTCCGAAGCACGAACAGAACATCGTTTTACACTTTTTGGGACTGATATTGATGTGATCCGACCGGAAAATTGAATGGATTTTGTTCTTATGGCAAAGTCTGAAGGGTAAGTAGAATTATTTTTTAGACAGTTCAACTAAAGCTGATTTAAATTTATTCAGACAGCTCGTTGCCTGTTCCCGTTCCATTCACCAAATTTATTTACAAAACTCATTTCATCATCGGTATTTGTTCAGTACAAGCTTTAAACTTAGAAAACTTTTCGATGTAACCTCTTGTGGTAGTTAAAGCTGTTTTACAATCGAAATTAGTCTTGAATCTGTCGGTCGTTTTGTTATGTGAACGTTCTTTTGATCGACATCTAAGCTCAATGTAACAGTGTACCAATCAATACCGCCTGATTGCTTCCTTAACACAACTTAAACGTAATAGATGCAATAACATTTATACTTGACACATTTCTTAACCTTTGTGTCGGGAAATATGTCGATATCACTTAACAATCAACCGCCGTTGTTTGACGTTTACATGCATTTCTTACTACACAGTGTTACCTGAAGTTGATGAAAGTAACCGTACACAAATTCGCCGTCGCAGATAGCTTTAACTTCAGCCAGTTTAATAGTTCTTTAATGTCACTGCGGTGAGACTGTGTAAGTAAGGCGCCTTTTGGTTAGTGGAGATGGTTATCCATTAAGATGATGTTGTCATTTGCATCACTTACAAATGAAATGGTTAAACCATTAATTATTATAAAAACAGCATTTGTGTTGGTAAGTCTTCTGCTTAGGTGAAAACTCAGAGCAGATTCCTCACTTGAATTAAGCTCCTTGATAAAACAAACAGTTAACCCCTCTTCATAGCTCACACTACCCAAGCTGCTTCTGACAAGAGATATGGCTTCAACAACACCAAAATATGATGGTGACTGCATGAAACTGTCATATACCTGATTTTCCCCCATCATAAATGACATGAAGGCTAGAATCCAGCTTGGAGTCAGTGGTTGGTGGTTTTTCAGTGAAGGAAGGATTTGTTTGTTACCGGTATGTATGTCTTTGCTAACAACAAAGAAATAGCTGTACAAGCATTGCTACCTTGATGACCTCCAATTTTTGACCAAGATAGGAAGGCTGGCAGTTCCCAGAATGTGACTGATTGTGTAGTTGAAGATGGAACATGTATTGAAATGGATTGTGGTGGTACACTTAAGTTAGAAAACTCTTGTTGAGCTACTGATGGTGTTTGTTGTTGAGATTGATTGTGTGATTGTAATAGGTAAGGGCAGGTAATGGGTGAATCTCAAGATTTTCAGTGGCCAGGTTGCCCACAGTGTGAACAGTGGTGTCTGTGTGAATTTGTGACAGAAGTAGGCCTTTCTGTGTTATGTCGTCTCTCTTGAGTTCTGTGTGGAGCACTTGGCTGTGGTGTGTGTGGTATTTGCTAAAAATTTCTCATTATCATGTTCTTCCAGTCATAGGACTTGTAAAAGTATGAAGTCCAAGAAGTATTTACTTCTGGCTGGCTTTCAGGTTGTTCATGACTATTGTGGCTCTTTGCAATGTTACTACTCATATCATGCTCTATAAGACCACAAGGCTGAGCTCTAGTGGCGTCCGGTCGCCCCAGGCAACTAACATTTGGTCCTGGGCAACTGAAAAAAGTATTCTGGTCACCCAGCTGTGCACTCAGCCCCTTGTGCAGCATTCGCCTTTGAGGTAAATCTGGCAATTGATTGCTACATTTTTATTTGGTTGATAAAATAAGAAAAAAAAAAGAAAAATATTCTTTTGCGCAATATGTAGTCAAATTGTTCACGTTCGAAGATCTCAAAGTTACTGTCATGTTTCATTCCACATGATTTCATATGAACCCAAATTACAATAATTATTGAAACAATAGTTCCTTTCACCTCACACATTTTAAACTGCACAGATATTGCAAAAATAAGGGTTGAACACTGGGATTTTCCTTGAGATGATCAGTGTCTGATTTATTTCAGTGTTTCTATGGATTTGGAAAGTGTAGCATGGTTATCTTTAAGATTCTTTCTATATGCAAATTTCCAGTAAGCCAGCTTTGTTTGTAGGTGTTTATTGATATCTGTGATAAGCGACTTACAATTACTTTATGAAGATTTGGCGAGAGCTGAGCTTATAATGATTTCATATTTAGACTTGATGATATTGATGCTTTCAAATGAAAGTTCAAAGCAGTTTTAAAATATCCAAAGAAGCACAATTTTTGAAAAATAACACAAACTCACCACTAAAAACAGCAACACACTCTGTCACACAGTGTGAAAAGTTTTAATTTATGGTTTGATTAAATATTAACTGATAAAAACATGAAATAAATTAATTATAAATTACTAATTGCTTGGTTGATTAATTAATTAATTAATTTTTGGGTGACCAACCTGGAGGGCTGGGCACCCTAGCTGGAATGGTTGCCAATTTCTCTTGATACCTTTAAAATTGTGTGAAAGCTTATACTGAATCAGGATGGCATAAACCCAGTGTAACAGATTTCCTTATGACAATAGGGGTGTTTTTTAACCTTTGAAAGGAATCTTTCTGGTTTCTTTTTTTGTATTTTGATATGAGCTTTAAAAATAAAGCTAACTTTTCCTTTTGAAAACGATATGACAGCCAACTTGCATTATTTTCATAAACTGATGGGCACACAAAATGAAGAGAGTGAAAGTATTAGGTACTTCTCAAGTGCTATTCCGTTTCATCCAACCTACCTGCTTTGAGCCATGAAGATTTTTTACAATAAGTTGCAACTTTTTTATTGTAAATTTTCCTGATCATCCAGCAAGGAGAGTTTGATCCCTTTCACCTGTCCCTCTAAGATACTCCATTACAAAATGTTTCCTGACTTCCATCTGTGTTCAATAGCTTTGCATTCAGCCTAATCCTTTCTGCTGGAATCTCTTTAAAGAGAATGCCAGATTTCCACCTTTTTTTCTGGTAAAGAAGCTAAGATGCGCCATTTAGTGCTGTAGTAATCTTTACTGTTGAGTTTTTGATGTGCAGTGTCACTTAAAAATGATGATGTGGATTTGTCATAATGATTTCTCCTCTAACAAATAAACAAAACAGCAAACCTCATTGTTTGAAAATAGTTGTCAAGGTTGAAGCTTCTAAAAATAACCAGACAATTAAAAAATAACAGTGGTATAACTTCTTCCATCAAGTACAGTAGACTAACATACTCTAGGTCTTTGCAAAGTTTAAAAATGGTCTTTAAAACTGGTCTTATCATTTGGTGTAGTAGGTACATTTATAAAGTATAATAATAATAAGATTTTTGGTCTGAGAGAAAAAAAAATAACAATAACAATTTGATTTTATTGTTTTTTACTGTTTTATTGTCCATTCTATTTTTTTCTGCTGTACCTTGCAGGCTGTCTCCACTGTTTTGTGCACAACTTCCTTCTGGTTTTTTGCTTGCTGCTGTTTAAACATGTCATTCAAACATTCAAGTGCTAAAGTCCAAGACTCCCTGCAGTCTGAGCAGACCTGGTTAACCCATGCATGGCAAGGAACATTCCACCCTGTTCTTAGAGATGGGATGTTTTCTGGGATATGAAGGAAATTAAGTGTCATTCCTGTCAACATACTAGAAAGGCTGGCATGGAAATTGTAAAATTTTATAAAATGTTACAATTTTTTATTCTTTGAATGACAAAACTTAAAGCACATGCAATAAAATTTAACTGGAGCGCTTTTACAAAATTTAATACCTAAAGTGAGCTAGCAGTGAAGAAGTGCCACTGTTCTTTGCTGCAGTAAATGTGAATAGCTCTCACTGGTAGCACATCCATCTGCACTGGTTAGTGCTTTGATGAGGATGTCAAAGAGATGTGGTGCATGGGTTTCAAAAAATGCCTGCATCTCTTTGGATCTGTATAGAGATTGACCCCCACTCTAGTGCCTGCACAAAGCTAACTGAAATTTTTCCATCAGGTCTGAAAAACTATCTAGAAAATGCAGTAGTATGTTTTAGACCAGACCCTGTGAGTTATGTAGAAATATTTTTAACAATGAACACTAGATGTGTTTACTTGTAAAGAATATGCACAAAATGTGGTAAGAACAAAGAAGTGGCACACGAGACGCAGCCGAGAATTTCATTGATGTTCTTACCACATTTTGACGTCCTCTGTGATCTATTACTGAACAGACGCACGGCAACTTGGAATCTATTTGTTTTATATAATTTGAATTGAATTTATAACATAGCTAGTAAATTTGTCTAATCAAATTCAATTGCGAGAGCGTGCTTCATATTCCTAATGTGCACGCTCATGACGTTAATAAGTTTTGGCGCATACATTTAAGTTCTGAAGCTTGTTAAAGACATTGAGCATCTGTCAACTCTGCTTGGCACTCCAACTGAATTTTGCAAGGTACTCATCTTCATTTCGCATAAAGATTTTTGTTTCAAGTTATTGATCTTCATGTGCGAACAAGGTGAGAATAAGTCATTTCTTTATTTTTTTTATGTAAATTGTATGAAGTATATAAAATTAGAGTATGCATCAAGAGAAGACAGCCGTTGAATATCACTATTTATCGTTGTTCTCCTTACTGGCCATTGGTGATCTGCGTAGCAAAGGTTTTATCGGCACTTATCCGACAAATTGTGCACCACCGTGTCCCTGGTCGGTAACTTTCTATACTTCTTCCACCCTCGTCAAAAACTTTGTTCAGCCTAGTGGTGATGGATGTCTTACTTAGTGTGGAAGAATGGGAAGGCAGCAGGCACGAGCAGATGTTGTTCCTTTTTCGTAATTGCTGATAGTGGAATTCACATACAAATTTTCCTCGTTTGACCTCCGCCACTCGAGCCATTTCAGTATTTAAGGCAATTATCCTTCCTCGACAAGTAGAGCTATAGCGTGTTTTTCTCCCAGACAACAAACCTTTTCGACGGGCGGTTTGCCTACTGAGGAGGCGATCAAAACAAGTGCTGTAACTAACACGGGCTACGAAGTTCTTTGCCCTCTTACGACCGCTCCACTTCAATACCAAAATTTACACCTCTAGCCTGAATATTTTTCTTTTTTCTTTTTTTTTTTGTTGGGAAAGATATGTAGCAGAGCAGGTTTTAAAGAAACTTTCTTGAAAGTGGGAACCTTATCTGTTGAGTCTAGGGCTTATCCCCGCGAAATAAAACAAACAATACGAATTTTAAAAATGCCTTCTTATCACCGTTTAGCGTTACTATGGAAATATTATCATTCCCATTCCTTTAACAAATTTACAGGACATGCGCAGACAAAATGCCCCTTCCCTGCTGAGCTGACGTAGATAAGTTCAAAAAGAGTGACACGTTGCCAGAAATAATTGATAAAAGAGTGTGGAACTTTCTTATGTTTAATTCCTTTGGGTGTCAAAACTGAATCACAAGGTAAATGTTGAACTAATGAAAATAAAGTTAAGATATTTAATTGTTAGAGTAATGAATATCAACAAGTTTGTTCTACGATTTCAGATTTAACTGAAGACAGCATGCTAAATATAAGGATAGTCAAAGGTGGCTGCCGTGGACGTGAAGCGGTTAGGTTTGGAGTGGTAAGTATTTTGCTGTTCAGAATATTTGACTCTAGTCGAGACCTTACGTAAAAATGGAAAATTAAAATTTAGCCTCTAGTTCACTGTTACGCTCTTAAGTTCAATTCTTCTGAACAGGAATTAAATTCTTTCTGGACGATTCATGTCTCTTCAGAGAATAATTTATTATTTAAGTCATCGTTTACACGGACGCGGCTTCCAATCCAAACGGTTTCATGACCTTGAAACCGAATCGAAAACGACACGGTTTCGAAGTGTCTACAGGGAACCTATCCAACTGTTTACGCCATGAAGATCTCGTTCTCAGGCCCTTGCATTTCGTCTGTTGGATCTGGGGAACGAGTAAAGAGTCCAAAAGAAAGCTTATCAAAATTTATGTACCTGCCACCTATCGCAAAATAATAGACAATTTGTTATTTGTATTTAATACAGTGCAACACCCGATTTTAATCGTTTGCTGTTTTCCTGGGTCGTCCTTCATCTGACAAATAATATATAGTCGAGGCCACCTGTGTTTCTACTGAGACCGGAAGTCACACGTTTGTTACTTTCCTTTCGATGAACGGTCTTAACTCACCACATAACTTGTCTTTGCCCATTCTGAAGTTTTCCTTCCATTCTTCTGCAAGCATGACACCGTCCAGAAAGTTGTTCCACCAGACACTAGTTCTCCCAGGCCGAGTCCAGAATCGTCGTTTTGCTTTTCTCTTCCTTACTCTAGGGCGTATTGACGAAGAAGCCAGCCAATTTCGCGCCAAAATAAGTAACCGTTTTTAAATCGATGCGGTTTCGCCGTTTACACGACCAATGAAACCGTATCGTTTTGAAAACACTCCACTTTTGAAAGCGTTTTCGGAATGACCCGGTTCTGATAACGAACTCGACCGGTGCCGTGTAAACGAAGGGTGAAACCGTATCGAAACCGATGCGGTTAGTATATGCAATCACATGAGGCCAAGGACTATTAAGGATTAATTGCACGAGAGTTTTCAAAATTTTCCAAAATTGCCCGAGTCGCGAACTTGTTTATCAATAACGGGCAAAATTTATACGAAGGAAAATCACGCGCGCAGTCTATTTTTAACAAATTTCAAGATAACGAACGGTTGCTATGTAACGGATTAGCCAATCATTAACAGGTAATCATGCCCTCACTTGATTACTAAAAATGCCCTCGATTAAGAAAAAAATGCCCTCTCTCTCAACCAATCAGCGCTCAGTAATTTTGCCCTTTATTGATAACAAATGAAACTGCGTCGCTCTAAATTCCCCAAATAGCATATTTTCCTCTTAAGAACCAAAATTCTTATCAGAATAATTATTTTAATGGTGTTTTTTTCGAGGAAAATGAAGGTTCTTGAAACAAGATTGACTATAGAAGATAATTCTTGTGGTATGAATACATTACATCTGAATATCTTGAGAAGAATCTCTATTTCAGAAACTCTTGCCCCAAGAACCGGGAATTCTTTTCTCAGGAGCGAGAATTCTTTTCAGCGGGTAATGAAGAAGAGAGTTCTTCTGGAAAGAATGTTAAATTGCAATTTCAGAAACTCTTGCTACAAGAGTCGGGAATTTTTTTTCTCAACTCAAGAGAATTCTCGTTCGTAACGAGAATTCTTTTCAGCAGGCAGTGATGCAGAGAGTTCTTCTGGAAATAATATTTAATCGCAAATCTTACGAACAGAATTGAAATTTCAGAAACTCTTGCCACAAGAATCCGGAATTCTTTTTCTCAAGAACGAGGATTCTTTCTAGCAGGCAAAGAGGTAGAAGGTTCTTCTGGAGAGAATGTTTAATTGCAGATCTTATGAAAAGAATCGCAATTTCAGAATTCATGAGATAAGAGGTAGAATCTATTATAACCAAAATTTTATTAAGGTAACCTCTATTGCAAGTAACTTTGATAACTACAGACCAAATTATCTGATGAAGTCTGATAAAGCTTTGCTACAATACAGCGGTGGAGTAGGTACATGAACGATACGCTAGGAAAACAAAATATGGTGTCGTAGCCGCGATAATTTACATTAAATTTTCGTGTGAACATTCACAACACCAAAATTAATAACTTTGGAAGTGAAAGACCTCTCTGGAGGTTTGAGCAGTTCCAAAATATTCCTTAAATTTTTGTCATTGGAATCTGTTGTACTGGAAAGCGAGAAAACGCGGTCGATTCCAAGCGCTTGGTAATCGCACTATATCCGATTTCGGTTGTGCGGGCTCATTTAACGTTTTTCACGGCTTTCAAGAATGCGTGCCGAATAATAAGTTGTCGTTGCCTTGTTTCGGTCTCACATGAGGAAGGAGATTTCAGTGGCCAAAAGTGCTTTCTGCTCCAAGGTTAACTTGTACATTAGGAGGGCATTCAAATCTGGGTTCATATAGAGTGATTCAATGGGAATATTCGGAGTGTCAGGTGGGCTCTTATTGAAATAATTCAGTGTCGACCGATCGACGGAATCTCGTATCAACAAGATGAGGTCCAAGAAACTAAATCCTGCTTGATTGGACCCAACCTTCCTTGGAAACATGCTGATAAAAAAAGCTGTTGGAAGGAAGCGCTCTTCAGGAACTGATTGAACCTTGTTCATATATGATCTACTGATTGCAGGACTGACAAATTTCATTTCAGTTTTAGAGCTCGAGGTTAGAATAAATTACAACCGAGTGGGGCTGAATTATGTACTTGAAGGCTTCAATTTGCAACAAAATTTAACTATTTTTGCATGATTCAAAATTGAGTATTCCCCTTCCACTTTCAATCATGTTTGCGAACAGATAAATACTGGATTGCACAGCTAGAGAAGAGGTCATAGGAAAGGACTAGGGGTTGCAATTGGCATGCTATTAATTCATTGATGTACAACAACTGCTTTGATGCAGATTGTGAAAGTAATGAATGGTATGGAGTATGATCAGGGAATGATATATTTAACTAATATATAAAGAATGAGATATGTAAATAAAAATTGAAAGAGGTCAGTAACAGGGAATGTTGATATAGTTGTTCACTGATAATTCAATGCATACATGATGTTGTGAATATGTAAGTTAATTATATTTTTGTGAATTGTATGTTGAAGAATAGATTTTAAAAAATGGGGTATGATTTAAAAGTGATATTATGTCATTATAAGATACAAAAAATGAGGTGATAATCAATAAATGTTTTCAATACAGTGAGTGCTGATATAGTTGTTCATAGATAACTTGATGCATACATATACATTACAAATATGTGATTTAGTTTCATGTTATGTTGATTGTATGTTAAGAAATAAATCCAAAGGAAATGAGATTCTTTTCAGTGTAATTTATTGTGTTAGAGGTAAATCAATCCTTTCAATAACTCAACAAACCCAGTAAAGGCAAAAGATTCTTCTCAATAGAATATTCAGACCTCAGAAGAGCACAAAGACTTTATCAGCAAGAATGCTTTTAAATGTGATTCTTCACCCAAGCAAATTCAATCTCTTATGAAGAACAATCAATTTAAAAAAAATTTCATTCTTGAATGAAGGGAAAAAACTCTCATGAGGAGACTCAGAAACGGACATTCTTCCCAAACAAATATCGTGTCTTCAGGGAAGAGCAGTAATTCTTCTGATAAGCTTGCTTAAAAAATGAGATTCTGCTTCAATGGATATCATCTTGAGAGGACAGTAGTGTTTCTTCTCAGAAAAATAACTCATTAATTGGTTCTGGGCAAAAGAATTTTGTTCTTGTGGGGAAAAACTAGTATTCTTCTAACAAGAATCAGACATATATGAGATTCTTCTCGTGAGAATTATTAACCTTGGGAGAAGACCCACCATTCTTTCCTTAAATGGATATCATCTTGGGAGGAGAGCAGGGTTTCTTTTCAGAAGAATACACCATTAAATAGTTCTTAACAAAATAATTTTGTTCTTGTGGGAAAAAACTAGTATTCTTCTGACAAGAATCAGACATAAACAAGATTCTTCTTATAAGAATTCTTAACCTTGAGAGAAGACCCATAGTTCTTTCCTCAAGAACCAGCTTTCTTCTCTTCAGATTCTCCTCTGGGGACAAAGAATTTGAAACAATAAATTCTTCCCTGAAGAGGCATGAATCTTTCAGAAAGAATTTAAATTCTGTTCAAAAGAACTGAAGTTAAAAGCAATTTAGAGTGTGTCCGTGCATACAGTGCCTCAGACTCTTTGTCCCCAGAGGAGATATATAATTCTGAGGGGAAGAAATCTGGCTTTTGAGGAAAGAACTGTGGGTCTTCTCCCAAGGTTAAGAGTTCCCCATGAGAAGAATCTCATGTATGTTTGATTCTTGTTAGAAGAATACTAATTTCTTCCCAAAGGAACAAAGTTATTTTGTCAAGAACCAGTCAATTAGGTATTCTTCTAAGAAGAACCACTTCTCTCCTCCCAAGATGATATCCAAGCTTATCAGAAGAATTACTGTTCTTCCCTGAAGAACCAATATTTGTTTGATATTCCAAGGGGAATAAATTAATTAGCCCCAGGCCTACATGCTGTGCCTGGCTTGATGTTGACAGACATTTAGTTGACACTTTATATTGTGTTTCACTCCTTTGTTCGTTGTAGTTATTGCTTGCCCTCCTTCCCACCCCAGGGGCTTTCCTTGAGCCCTCAAGGGCTCCTTGTTTCCTCATTAAAGATGCCCAAACAGATTCACTGTCTCATTTGTTGGTGGTGTCGTGTGAGTGGGGTGTGGCGGGGGAATAATGAATGTCAGTTTCTGAGTCTCCCATGAGAATTTTTGTCGTTCACCCAAGAATGAATATTCGGTTTTAAATTGATTGTTTTCCTCCAAAGATTGACTTTGTTTGTGAAAAGAATCACTTTCAAAAGCATTCATGCTGAGAAAGTCTTTGTGCTCCTCTGAGCTCTGAATATTCTATTGAGAAGAATCTTTTCCTTTTACTGGGTTTTGTTGAACTATTGAGAGGATTGATTTTCCTCTAACAGACTAACACAGTTAATTACATTGAAAAGAATCTCATTCTATTTGGTTTTATTTTTTAGCAAACAATCAACATGACTTACATATTCATAATGTATGCATCAAGTTATCAATGCACAACTATATCAACATTTACTGTATTGACAACATTCACTGTTTATCTACATATCTCATTCTTTGTATCCTAGCTAAATAATATCATATCTCTTTCAATTCATACCCCATATTTTTGGTTCTATTTGTTAACATACAATTTGCATTAAATATAATTAACTTACATATTCACAATAACATGATGTATACATCAAATTATCAATGAACAACAATACCAACATTCATTGTATTGACAACTTTCAATTTTGTACCATACATTTATCATTCTCTGTATATTAATTATAAATATATCTTTCCCAGATCATACCCCATACCATTCATTGACTGTTACAATCTGCAACAAAGCAGTAGTTGTACATATGTGAATTAGTAGCATGCCAGTTGCAACCCTTAGTCCTTTCCTATGATCTCTTCTCTAGCTGGGCAATCCAGTACTGTTATGTTCACAAACATAGTTGAAAGGGGAAGGGGTATGCTTAATTATGAATTATACAAGAAGAGCTTAATTTTGATGGAAAATTGAAGCCTTCAAGTACATAATTTGGCCCCACTCAGTTGCAATTTATCTTAACTTCAAGCTCTGCAACTGAAATTAAACTTGCCAGTCCTGCAATTAGTGCAGTATGAACAGGGTTCAATCAGTTGCTTGTATGAGGTCCAAACAAGGAAACAACAACCTAATGTTCAGCGCATTCTTTTGGGGTTGTGCCTAAATCCTACTGGCTAGAGGTACACTGGAGGAGCGCTAGTGATGAGTTTCCAAGTTGGGTGATCGGAAATTGCATTACAGACTTTGCCAGTAAAACCATTTGCAATTTACCTGCAGTGAAGTGAGGTGATTGAACCAGACATGAACATTATAACATGCTATACATGTGAAGAGTACATTGTTGAGTTTAAATCAAGGAAATTTTGTTTGGCTGTTTCCTTCACCCTTGTCAATCTTAAGTTTCTTGTTCAGCAGAGTTTTAGCTGAACACTGTAGCTGCTAAGACTTAAACTTGCTAGGGTAAACAAAACTTGTGAATAGTATTGCTGTCATAATGCCCTTGTTGTAGTGCTACTGATTAGAAAGATCCCCAAGATGAAATTTCTATTGTCTTGTACATCTAGCTGTTAGGATCTCAGGAGGCTTAGAAAATACTTACAGCTAGAAGTACAGCTTGCATATTTAGTCAACGTTGCCCAATTGTTACAAAAGTTTGCTTGACTTTTTATTTTTTCTGCACTCCAAATTAGTCTTACACTCCTTCGAAACACTTTTTTCAAGAATATGTATAAATTAACTAATTTTATTTTGGTCTTGTACCTCTAGCCAGTAGGATCTAAAGGGGCTTATAAAATAATCCAGGCTAGAGGTACAGCTTGCATATTTAATGGTCTTTGCCCAATTTTTATTACAGTTTGCTTTGAATTTTACTTTTTGGCATTCCATTTGTGTTTGATTAAAAGTACTGTTGACAAGGCCAACCATTGTCTGAATTACTAAAATCAACTCATCTTTAGGTAGTCATAGGATAACATGATTTTAATTCATTAAATTGACATTTTCCCTTTGTATTTTCAATGATATTTAACAGCATGTATGACTGTATGAAAACCTTAAAGCAACTTATTCTTGAAAATATAAAATTGTCATCTACTATATATACAGAATTTATACAATTATATAACTAAAATGGATTAACCTGTACCTGTGTTATTTTTGATAAAAAGTGCTATTATTAAAAAGAAATCAAACCTTTCTTATTTGAACATCAACCAGAAACCCTTTGCTTATTGCCTAATAATACCTGCTTTAACGAATATAGGCGATCCTTGCAGTTATGAACACTAATGAACTAGTAGTTGAAATAAATACCTGCTTTAGTTTCAGCTGATTCCCCATAAAGAGTCATGCTCAAAGCTTGTGTGCTGTGCCATCAAATATTAGCAGTGGTAGGTACATGACCAAGGAAGAAGAAGATCTTCTTGAAAAAAAAGGATTCCAGTGTAGTATAAGACTAACATGGAATGCTAAAAAGTAAAATGCAAAGCAGACTGTAATAAAATTGGGTAAAGTCAATTAAATATGCAAGCTGTACTTCAGTATTTTCTAAGCTTCTTAAGATCCTACTAGCTAGAGGTTATAGACTGAATAAGAGAGAACAATTTGTAAATGTATTTATGAAAAAGTGATTCCAAGGAGTGTAAGACTAGTTTGGAGTGCAGAAAAGTAAAATGAGCAAACCCCAGTAAAAATTGGGCAAATTTGACTAAATATGCAAGCTGTACCTCTTGCTGGTAGTCTTTTCTAAGCCTCCTAAGATCCTACCAGCAAGAGTTACAAGACCAAATAAAAGAACAAAAATTCAAATATATTTTAACAAAAATGACTCCAAAGAGTGTAAAACCATAACTTGGAGTTAAGAAAAGTAAAATGTGGAGCAAACCATAATTAAATTGGGCAAAGTCCACCAAGTATGCAAGCTGTACCTGTAGTTGGTAGTTTGCTCTAAGCCCCCTCAGATCCTACCAGCTAGAGGTGCTTTTTACAGTGTATTCGTTGTTAGAACTGTTTTTTCAGCTGCTGTATTGTTGTTGAGGTGGCGAAAGAAAACCTTTTTAAAACATCGGCCATTGTGTCGCTCGCAAATTTTCAGCGTATCCAAATGTTGCGACATCTAAGGCTCGTACTCGATTGGCTATCTGTGAGTTTCTTTGATTATTGACCAATCAAAATGTCTGGTTTGTACTGCTTTGCACTGAATTAACCCTCTCTTGCACTGAATCACCTGGAAACTGCATTTATCTTAACAAATCAGAATTGAGTAATTTTTTCATGTATATTATTAGTAATGGAAATCTAAACAAGGTAAAAACAGTACCATATTGCAAAATTTGGTCATATTACAACTGAGGTCACATTGTGTAAATTTTTATTGAGGTTCAAAAAGAACGACTCTATTGTCAATGCTGCTTTTATAATCACAAACCATCTTAAATTATGTTTTAGTGGTTGCGGACATGTTCCACACTGGTAAAAAGCAAAACAGAGACGCATGCCAGAGTACAGTCAGCTAATTACCCATCCGGTGACTTTGCTGATGGCTTGAACGGTGGGAAATTACTTTCTGAGAAAGTGAAAAGCCCAGTGTGTTCATACAACGAATGGGATCCTCTTGAAGAAGTCATCGTGGGACGCGTTGAAGGTGAATTTGTTAAACTGGAGTGCTGACTAGTGACACCCCTTCCTAGCTCTCTGAAAGAAGTTCACTCTGTGTCAGTACCAAAGTAATTCTTAATCTATGAATATGTGTGAGCCAGTGAATGATCCAAGTGCTAAGTGACACATCGAGTAATGTCTTTGCTTTACTCTCTTTCTCCAGGGGCAACCGTGCCCGAGTTTTCGATAGAAGTAAAAGCAAATACGTATGAGAAAAACTGGTCGTTTTTCAATACTTTTGGCGGCCAATCGTTTCCTGCATTACATCTTAAAAAAGCGCATCTGGAAATCGAAGAATTCTGCAACATTCTACGACACGAAGGAGTGAAAGTTCGCCGACCTGAACCAATTGACTTCTCAAAGGTAAGAAAAAAAATCTTATCTCTCCTTACTTAAGGAGTTGAAAGAAGAAACTTGGTTAAATTAGGATTTAGTTTATTTATTCATTTATTTAAGGATTTGTACAAAGCAGTACCGGAGCAAAAACAATAGGAAATAAGTCCCTAACTAGGTTTAAGCTCCAACCCAACCCCTCCTCTGTAAAATAACTGAATAATATAAATAGACTAAATAGGTTGCTTAACAAGTGCACGCAACAAGGGTATTTATTGGGTAGCATCATTTACAGCCCGACTGATTTTGTTTCAAGTTGTGTTATAATATGCTTAAGTTATCACAATGTAACATAAAATGTCTCTTGGGGTGATATTGAATACTTAGGCTCAATTTTTATATTGTTAAGAGATGATGAGCTCATGGTCTCTTGTTTCCATTTCATAAAGAAATCTGTGTAAGAGTGCTCGCCTGGTTTTTTTTTAGTAGATGGACATCTAGAAATGAATAGAAATACCCTGTATTTAATTTATGATTATATGATTTTTTATGATTTTGATCCTGCCCCTCCCATTCCATCTCTCGAGGAGCACAGCGCAGTGTTTTTTTTTAATTATGGTGCAAGCGGCGAGAACATGTAGGCGCCAGCGTAATCTGTTAAAAAATGAAGATCAGTGTATTTTATGGACCAGTGTTCTACTTTTCACCCTCTTCTAGTTGTTTGCACAATTTCTAGTTCATTGATGACATTCTCACCTTCTCACCCATCGCTGCTTCCACTGTAGAAAATGTACTCATTGTCTGACTGTTACTTTCACACTCACTGTCCGATGCACTTCAAAAAGATGTCAGACTCCTTATTATTCAAATTAAAAAAAGAAAGCCCACCCCCCAACTACTTTCAAACACCTCTGACTCTTCATCTTTCACAACAACCTAACCCCCCTTGAATTGTTCGGGTATAAAAATATCCGAAGGGAGTTCTAATAAAGTGAATGGCAGGAAAATGAAAGGAGGAACTATAATTGAGTTATGTTTTCAGGCTTGGCTTAAACTAAATTTAAATGTCTTCACCAGGTCTATAAAACTCCTGACTTCCAATCATCCGGGTTATACGCAGCCATGCCACGTGACATTCTGCTTGTGGTTGGCGACGAAATCATAGAGGCGCCTATGGCATGGCGGTCTCGATTCTTTGAGTACCGTGCCTACAGGTCCCTGCTTAAGGAATACTTTAGCGGTGGTGCTAAATGGACGACTGCACCTAAACCCCTCATGAGCGACGACCTATATGATGAGGTACGGGCTTGATTGATTATGAATTTTTTCGCTTAAAAAAGATCTTGTTTTGCGGCTGCTTAGGAGATTGTCAGAATTTTTTGCATTATTTTATCGCCATATAAGTAGCTTGTTTAAAGTAAAATCACTGAGTGAAATTTGGTTTTTGCCGTCATAACTTTTAGAACTATGCCATACGGTCAGTGGAGGACCGCCACAAGCTGGCTGCTTCGGGAAAGTTTGTTACCACAGAGTTTGAACCCTGTTTTGATGCCGCTGATTTCATCCGAGCAGGCCGTGATATATTTGTTCAAAGGAGTCAGGTAAAACAAATATGTTACTCCCAAAAAACTCTCACTGCTTACTGTCAATAATGAAGTCCTATACTCGGCCTTATGCTCTTTTTGCGTAAGATATATTTACACGGTACACTGATCATAAGCCGGATCTGGATTCCTATAAAGGCGGAAAGTAATTCACAAGTTAAGAAGTATTCAGATAAAAGGTCTCGGACAATGCATTTATTTCTTTGATTCCATGTCAAACAAAGTATTTCAATTATTTACCTTGTAAATAATCTTATAAAATTTGGTATTGTTTTGTCTTAGTCGTAAAAAGAAAGATATCTGAGTGCCCCTATTCCCTAATTTTCCATTTTCCTCATCATATTTACTCACAATCGTAACAAGACGAGAAACAGCTTTCTCCATTTGACAAGCGAGATTTTGTATTCTACTCGATAAATAGTCTGCCGCCTCGTATTTTGCAACAGGTCACAAACAACCTGGGCATTGAATGGATGAGGCGACATCTTGGAGAGCGTGGATATCGTGTGCATAAATTATCCTTTGATGATCCCAATCCGATGCATATTGACGCTACCTTCAACATCATTGGACCCGGATTGGTTCTATCCAATCCTGACCGGCCTTGTCATCAGATCGAGCTGTTCCATAAAGCTGGGTGGACTGTGGTCAAGCCACCATTGCCTCTCATACCAGACACACACCCCCTGTGGATGTCGTCCAAGTGGTTGTCCATGAATGTCCTCATGTTGGATCCGACAAGAGTCGTGGTGGATAAAAACGAGACAACTACACAAAAGGTGAAATAATACTTGATTTGATGGATAAGAAGTGGAACAAATTGCAGATGAGGTTTTTACTTCGAAAGTTAATTTTAGTCGCTATACCCCAAGATATCGCGCTGTTACTGAGTTTAAGCATGATAATTACGGCTACGGCAAACAGCAAAATTCGAAATAAAATCTAATTTTATTTACTTACCTTAAGATTTTTTTAATCAACCCTGTAGAAGAGTAAAACAAGATGTCTTGTTCACAGCTAATGCAAACTTGAATGTCGTCACTCCGAGGTACAAACGGCTGAATGCATATTGTTAGAATTCCTAATTCCTAGGTCTGTAAGGTTCACATGTTTTTGATAACACGATCACTAGTAAGCCTCATTAAAACGAACCACACATTTTTTTTAATTCCACTGAATTTTTATTGTTCGACGATGGTCACTACATGAACTTCTGATGCATATGAGAAGTTTAAGATAGCTCTGAATCCCAACTACAGAGTATTACACGCTGCAAAGCATCTGCTAGCGCTGGAAGCTAAATATGATAACGCTTGCACGTATCCAGTTATTTTTAACGCTTGTACGTGTCCAGTTAACTATGCGTGCTCTCTTTGTTTTTTAGAGCATATTGGTGTTAGGAAGTGACGTGTTTTGCTTAAACGCTATACTCGTTTTCAACAGATGTTCGAGAATCTTGGAATCAAATGTGTTCCTGTCTCTATCCGCTTTGCCAACTCTCTTGGCGGAGGTTTCCACTGCTGGACATGTGACGTCAGGCGTCGGGGAACCTTGGAGTCGTATTTTTAACTCTAACAGAAAAAGCCTTTTTGAATTGCACGCATACATATTTTAGTCTGCTCGCCTGCTTGAATGAAACGTTCAACATGTACCACGTTTTTCCAAATGTTTTAGCCTTTGGTCAGTAAATATGGTGACATGGTGGTGCGATTTTCTGTTCCTATTAAAGATATATTAAATGTGATTTGTTGTCTCGTTTGTACTATTTAAAGCTTAGTTGTCTTGATCGTCCTAGTTGAGAGAGCACTTACGAGACAGCTCAACTTTATGAAAAATGATACTGATTAACCGACAAAAAAGAACTAAAAAAGAACAAAAAGAGATAGGGGACAGAAAAGAAAAATCCAGTTTTTGAAGTCTCGTCAAAAATTTATTGGGAACATACCAATTTCAGCAAGGAAGTTATGGATTGCTACAGGAGGGGAAAGTAATTTCTGTTGATTTCTCTAATAGGAAATGAAACAATTTTGATGTAAAAAATTTGTGTGCAGATGTGACACCGAGCTGAGAGAATCGCTCTGGTTACAAGTTTCTATGCAGAGCATGCCATTCTTCATTAAGATCTCTTTAAAAGATTGAACAATTCCACTGTAATTTGGCACCTACAAAGCTCGCTTTTGTCTGCAGATTTTTACTCAGAGCTAAAACTTCAGAGAACTATTGGCAGTGTTCCTCAAAATAACCAGCAACACTCTGTTTCTTTTCCTCTTTTTTGAATATCGTCCTGAGTTAGTGAAAACCCGCATGAAGAGTACTAGTAATTCCCCGGGGGAGGGAGGGGTACTTCCGTAGAAAAGGTCTGGTACCGCTGTGTGGGGTCGCATTTTTACTGCTGGATGCCTTTTTTAGAGTCACTAGGATGGGGCTACACAATTTCGGGATTTTGGGAGTAAGAAATTCTGGTAAGAGGGAATTGAAAAATGGAAAGATTCGCGGTTAAAAAGTCGTTAGACTTGGGGATAGACATATGGACTGTCATGAGAGGCCAGCAGCGCCTACCCAGCATCAAATTGACCAAAGTAACCTCCCCTCCCCCCGGGAGTAATTTTTACTCTTAATGAACTCCCACTTTAGGTCGATTGAAATGCTCAGATTCAAATTCTTTATCTTGTCATCTTACCACGTTTCACCTGCGGAGAAGAAGTTTGAAATTTGGCAATTTTTTGTGTACTATTACGCACAGGATGGGGTTTAAAGAAATACGATAAAATAGGGTTGGAAACGGCCAGAAGAGACCACGCAGGCATGGAGTAAGGTAAGGAGGTTTTAAAACACGTTTAATTTCTCGCGTTGTTTATCATTGTTATTTTTGTTTTTGTTCTATTTATTTTACGCCACGCGTGAACCCTTAAAATTCAATCTAAATTTACCCCACAATCGGCACATTAGATATTCCTGTTTATGACCTTAAAACCCAGAAATCACACATAGTACGCTTAAGGTTCGCCTGTGGTTCTATCAAAAGACAATATGCACTTTTGATAACAAAAGCACACTTGAAAAGGGTGGATTAATTATTGTACCCTCATCCTCAAAGAACTTCAGCTGTTTTCAAATCACGCACCCTACACCCATTAGGAATATTTTGCTCACCGATAAACAGAAACACTGAATGTGGACGGAGATCGCGGGATTTGACAAGAGTATTTTTCTTGTTTTTTTTTTCAAATCTGGCCGAGTTTCCCGAGCGATAGCATAATTCATCCACACAGCTGTCATAAGTGGAGAGGTTTTGCAGTTATGAATCGTCGCTTGTATTTCAATTTCGTTGTAGCTTTAGTTGAAGTCGTATCTCTCACAACTGGCGGTGATTTCAATGTTCCTGTTGGTCATTTGAAGCCGTTAGGATCTCACAGGCCGCCAGAAATAAACTTAGTGGACGATTTACAAGAAGTGCCGTCTCCTCAAGAATTCTGGACTAAATATGTTCGACCCTCGAAGGCTGTTGTGTTGCGCGGAGCCGCCAAACTTGGGAGAGCATTTACTGAATGGACTGATAAGTATCTGAAGGAAAATTTTGCAGATTTAGAGGTTCGGCTAGAAGGAAAGAAAGAAAAGAGTTCTAAAGTTCCGATCGGAGCAAAGGGAGTCGGTAGGGATACAATTGGTGAGTTAAGAAGTTTACATCTTTTGTTCATTAATTTCAAAATTTTAAGGAATATTTAATGGCTCGGAGTTGGAGTAAAATTTCAATTCTCGCACTTATTCTCAGTAGAATGTTGATATATATACACCACAAAACAGAAGCACCAGTATTGCTTACAGGATTTTGTTACTGCTATTTTAATCACGAGAGCGAATAAAACAATCAAACCAATTGTGTGGTATAAGACTTTTTTTCTGGCACAAGAATCAAGTAATAATTGATTCACAAATATGAATACTTTAATTGAAAAGAAGGATCCTTCGAGGCTCTTAACCTTTAGCGTAAGTGCTCTAAAGGTAATCTTGGTGAGTATGTCAACTGTTCCAGGCCCATCTGATTGTTAATTCTATCCCTCTATACCTGCTTCACATTTCCTTGTACATTAGTGATTTGAATTTGTTGTGAAATCAAAATACAACTTTTACCTGATAAGTTAGAGTATTGTCATCACCTGTTTGCTTGCTAATGTATGGATATGACACGGAAAGTGACATGTTTAAACACTTCTGGGAGTTTAAGGGTTAGTTGTTACCCCTGCAAACTGCAAACTTGTTTCAAAGTTCCAAAAATTTGAAAATTCTTCTTAAATGAAAAATAGCTTTCAGACCAACTTCTATTTCTTGTTCTGATTTCAGTTCAGTGTGATTATTTTCCTTCTTGTTTTTAAAGGAAACTTCATCAATAACTACCATAAAGAAAACAATAATCTCTACATTGTCTCGGAACTCCCTACTCCCATGTGGCGTGATGTGACAGTCATTCCCCCCCTGACTTGTGGCCTTTTGAAGGACAGACTTGTGGAAGTAGATTTATGGATGAGTGGGGGAGGCACCAAAAGTATACTCCACAAAGATGCATACAATGCTATCAACTGTTTATACAATGGTACCAAGGAATGGAAACTGATAGAGTACAAATATGAAGATAAGATATACAAAGCATGGGAGCCTCCACAAAATGTTGGTGGATTTTCACGCGTAAATATTCAGCAAGTTGATCTGTTGAAGTATCCTAAGGTTTCTGAAGTCCCCTGGTCCATTGTTACCATAAATGCTGGTGACTGCCTCTTCTTACCGAAAAGTAAGGTGGCTCTTAAAGTTAAGTTACTGTTTTTTATTTGCTGAAATGTTACCCTCATTAAATGTTGTGATATCATGAAATGGTGTGTTTTTTTCACAATGGATTCAAGATTGTAGCTAGCCACAAAACCTTAAAAACATATTTTTAATATTAATTGAAAATTTCTTGATTTATAGGTAAAAGCAACTCACCTCATTACTTTATATGTTATTCAGCTTTGGAAACACATTGCACCTGTTAAAATGATAGTTAAGAATTTGATCTTCAGACTGGTGTTCCTGTAGTTTGTCTAACATTTGACTTATGTAACTTAAAACAATTTTACTTTCTGAGATCATTAAAGAAAACTAATTGAAAATAGCTTACTCAGACATGTTCCAGGTTTCAAATGAATTCATCACCATTATAGTATGTTGACCAAATAGATTTGTTTGAACTGAAAGTTTTGAGATACATTTCTATTGAATGTTGTTTTCTTAAATGCCAATATAATATTCTATTCAAAGGTTACTATCACCAGGTGAATTCATATGGTACCAATAATGTGGCTGTAGCCTTGTTGTTCTCCCGGCTGGATGGTGTTGATGACATTGATTTCACTGGCTGTGATGAGAACTTAAGTTTCAAACCTCTGAGTGAGATGGAGTTAGACTGGGAATACCCTGGACATGGCAATCTGAGTATGGGTAACACAGACTTGGAGTCAGTTAGGTATTCAATTGAACTTTATTTTTATTTTTATTTTCTGTTTGGTAATAAGGGTTAATTTGGGAATTTGGAAACTAAAGCCAAAGTTTAACATTACTTATGCTCTTATTTGGAGCTTACTGGACCTAATCAGGAGGAAAAGTTTTCAAGAGGAATTTGATAAGAAATGAAGGTTTTGCTGTGACAGCTTCTTTAGTGGTAATAGGCTTAAGAAGAGTCCAGTTCTGCCTGTAATCATACAAGAGAGTATAATTATGTCTACCTAGTTGGAAGACACAAGGTCCTGTTACCAATTAATCAAAACTGTGACAAAATTGTATCAACAAAGTAGCTTTTGGTTATGTGTTTTCAAATCAACAGTTAACTTGGGGAAAAAGGAAACAGCACCAAATGACACATATTGTCAAATTTCACTCCAACCACAGGCTTCATGCATGTGTGGCACTTAATTTTCATTTCAGTTATTTTCTAATTTCAACTAGTTAATGTTTTCTTAACAACTGGTTGTAGATTCTTTTTACACCATAAATAGTGGGTCACTTTTCATTATTTCTGCATCAGATATGACAAAATTATAGTTGACACTAATAATATACCTGTTAACAACTGTGTCAAGCTTGGTATAAATGCTGCCTTTAAATGTCCTTAGGTAGGGAGAGGGTGGGGGCAGAAGTTATCTTTAGTATGTGAACTTAGGCTCTCAGATACATGCTTCCCATTGCTCTAACAAGCCACCATAAGGAGAAGCTTTGTGCAAATTTTAGCGGTATGTGTGTGAACCACTTGCTGCTAAAGAAAACAAACTTTTCTCTTGGTTAATTTAGTGGCATGCCATTTTTTTTAATATTAAGTAAATACAGCTCCTCATTCATTCAATAATGCTATGAGAAGCCTTTCAGTGACTCAGGTCCATAGTTTAAGAGTGAGAGTGTGGCATATCAAGGGCAACATAGTAACTAAGTGTTGACTTCTGTTTGATGTCACACATTAATGAGATAAGTGCTCTTGGGATGATGATTTTAAACTTCACATTGTTATTTACTCTAGAGAAGGTATGCTGGACTTTTTTGGAAAGGATGAAAAGCTTGATAAAGATGGAATTTTAAGAAAAATCCAAAACGTTACAGAGGAAGATGAGGTAAGGAGAGTGTACCACTCGCATTTTTATTAATTTCTCTGAATTTAAACAAATGATATTACACAAGAATTTCATATTGGAATCTTAAATACCCTTTGCTGATGTTTATGGG